CCCGCGGGCACTGTCACCTATCCTGGACACTTCTCCTACCAGAGCCCCGGGCTGACGGCCGGCCTGCCCAGCCCACCGTACGGCACTATGGAGCCCTCCCACATCTTCCACCAGGTCAAAGGTCAGCCGTTTGGCCCGCTGGAGCCTTTCTTTGATGGCGTCCTGGTGTCGGACGCCCCAGCGTTTGACCCGCCCCTCAGCCCTCCACTCAGCATTAATGGGAACTTCTCGTCCTTCAAGCACGAAACCGTCGCAGCGTCCGACTACGACAAGAGTTTCTCCTTCAGCGTGCACTACGGGGGAGGAGGACCTGGGGGACATGCTGCCATCTATGGCAATGGGGGGTCCAACCCACGGTGCGGTGAGCTGCAGGTGGATGGGCTGATGGGCTTTGATGGACACTCGCACCACGAGCGGTTGATGAACGCCCAGCTGAACGCCATCTTCCATGACTCATGAGGAAGAGGAGGATGAAGGACTGAGTGGCTGATGAAGATGGAAGGACGAACAGAGAGACCGTTATATGAAGAGAGAGACAGTTCTGTGTATTTCTATCATTTCAAAGCTGTCTTTCTTTCTGTCTTTTCTTCTTCCTGTCTGCGTCAGGCTCTACGACTCCTCCTCAGTGTGGTCATGAAGACGGGATGTCGATGATGATGTCACGTTGATGATGTAACCTTATTTGTAGCTCTTCATCCTGCAGGAGACGCCCTCTGAATGTCTCATTATTGTCCATATTATCTCTTAAAAATAATCAATAAGCAATAATCTGGAGGAAACTATGCAATTTTGTTAAAACCTGAGCTACGCTCAGCTGATAATTCCAAATGTTGAAAGAATAAAGATTTCTCTATTTTTGGGTCAGTGTGTAAGGCGCTGTTGAGCCAGCGTCGGGCCGGTGTTGAGCCGGCGTTGGGCCGTAGTGTTCATGTTGTTCATGTGATTTTTACATTTTGCTTTTTATAACGTTCCTGTAGCGTTGTTAACATTTCATGTGACTCTTGTTCATATTTTATAAAATAGATGTTTATAAAGGCCTTTCATTAAATGAATTCAATGTGACTCATCTGAGAGACTCTGTTTATCAGCAACAACACAACAAAACAACCAACCACCTCTGTTTACTGTGGTTGTATCCACTTCAGTCAAATTCAGCTCTATTCATAATATTTAAAAACACACAGATAATAAAAACTGAAATATTTTAGTCAAAAACACAATTTACATAAAAAAACTTTTATCTCTAGTTTTGGTCATTTTAGAGCAGTTCAATGCTGCTGAAGATACACTCCAGATTACGTTTGATTTTAACCCTGAACTGGCCAGCAATGACTAATAAGAGCCAGGCAGGTATAGAGAGGAAACGATTAAGTGAGTAGGACAGAAATTAAAGCATTAAACACTCAGAATGTCCTTATTTCTAAAACACGTTTAAAGCATTTATTAAATGTTTATATACTGCTTATAAATGCTAAATAGCAGGGTTGAACTAAAGAGTGTTAATCTGAAACTATTTTGTAATAATAGATTTTTTCAAGCAAAGACACCCAAATTTCCCTGGTTCCAGCCTTTCAAATGTGAATGTTTAATAGTCTTCTTGGTCCTCTTACAGAATATCTTTGAAATTTTAACTCGTTTATTGCAGCTCATTCTATAATTTTGGTCAGCTGTCATGTAGTTTGAGCCATTCCCACATGACTGCGGTCGGTTATAAACTGTAGTGAGCTCATTTTAATTTTACTTCAAGTATTAACTTTAAGATGATACACAAACCAGCTCACAAACATGCGCAGGAAATTCACCAGCTAAAACAATATTGCAGGTTGACATCTTGGAGATACACGGTTACCATGTGGCAACAGTATTATTTAAGTGGATTTTAGGCTTCAAGTTGATGAACACTTGATGAGAAAACAGATATCCCCTTACAGAGAAAACCCTGTTAACATGTTAACAACATTATCACACCGGCTGAAGGACAAAACCAGGATTCCTGCGTGTGTGTGTGTGTGTGTGTGTGTGTGTGTGTGTGTGTGTGTGTGTGTGTGTGTGTGTGAAGGGCACAGATGTTCGTTCTGCAGGCAAGATTTTAATTTATGAAAATGATCTCGTTTATGCATGAGAGCCCCCTCAATACACACTGCTGTCCCGCTGTGTGTGCGCGTATGTGTGTGTGTTGGTGTGTGTGTGTGCGTGTGTGTGTGTGTGTGTGTGTAAGTGTGTAAGTCAACAGGGACAATATGGTGGCCATATCCCACCATTTAGCTTCCGTGTTAAAGTGGAATAATAATGAGAGAAAGTGAGACTACGACTCATCCTGTTCAGCAGTGCAACAGAAACCGTACTGTACTGTATTTCCAGAATATATTTGAGGTATAACACCTACTACATATCTGGAGTATCAAGTTATAGAAGCTTAAAAGAAGCTTCTTTACATTCAATGACAAATATCTGTACAGATAAACTTGAGAGATCTGGAAAAAAATCTAATGAAAATTGCTTGAAAAAGCTGAGCTGTTCCCAGTAAAATGAACTTTTTATTCTTTACTGGAGAGATAATGACTAATACAAACGTCATGTGGACATTTCTCCTGACAATACAGCTCCTGTAGTAGGACATGTTTTGGTTTTGGTCTCTCTACCATATTATCGTAACTGGTAACCTCCCGGTGACTACAAGAAGTTTTTTAAGTGGTTATGAAATCGTCTCAATTTATTACCCAATGTTGAAATGTTTTTTGTGGCTGAGCTGTTCATTTCAAGACTTGCTTTGGGTGAACTTCCTGTGGTATAGGTAATAGATAAAAAAATTTAATCATCTTCTACAATTTCCAAATGTTGGACCAGAGGAATCAAATGATCCCAGAAGTTGCAATACAAAGTGTGACCACTACGCCAAAATCTCCTCACAGCCAAACGCTGTTCCTAGGAGCTTAGAACCACGCAACCGTTGTCAGATTTTGATTCAAGCGTTGTTTAACTCTTAATGGTGCACGTAAATATATGACATCACGTTTGTCCAAGTGAGTCCGGCCCACTTATTTTTAGTATTATTCAAGTAAAACTACTCGTTATGCCAAATGGCCCCAAATGGCTTCTTTCATGCTGTCACATATATCATCGGATTATTATCACTGATGGGGATGCATTAATGCGTGAGCAGCATTTATGTTAGTTATGTTCAGATGGAGCTGATTTTAACTACTTTAGTGCAGTGAGTATACTGCGTATATTTATTTTCTTTTTTCAAATGAGGCACAACAAACAAACAAGGCAGATTGGCACTAGAATTGTGAAAATGTTGATTTTAGAAAATTCTGAAAATACTGCCCTGTACTATACTGTTTAAAACTTTAAGGACTTAATTCTTGTTAAGAAGGTGATTTTTTCAGTGTACAGTTCAATGCAATAAAAATGTTTTTAATACTTAAAAATACTGTAAAAAGTACAATATTTTCCTGTGAAAGTGAAAGTACAATAGTATAAAATGGAAATACACAATAATACTAATGTGATAGGCTACTGATGTGAAGTAGTAGGCTACAAGAACCTCAAAACTGTACCTTAGTGGCCTACTTAAATGTAGCCTACAACCCTACCACTGCAAATGATTAGGACATAACTGCCTTAAAGCTGCAGTATGTAATTATAAAAAACCAAAAACTTTTTGTTGTATTTGTTGAAATGTTCACTATATCCTGACAGAAGTACACAAGACAGCTAATCTGTGAAAGAATCGGGGTCCTCTCTCTCTTCCTAGTGCTCCTAATGGCATTTGCAAGAATCCACCGGGCCTGAACGCAAACAACCAATCAGAGCTGAGAAAGATAGTTGATTGTTTAGTCTCATTCTTAGGACGTCAAATACTGACGCTTTGGGACCCTTTATGGGGATGGCTAGTGTGACATAAGGAATCGTTAGCAATCACTTCCGTGACCATTAGCATTTTTAGGTCACGTAAACAACAATGGCTACAGCACAGGAACCGGTCACCTATTATACAGTGACAGCCTACTTTACTGACATCCCAAAGTATGTTCAAAAACTCCTATAATTCAAATAGCGTAATAACAGTTAGTTCAATGTCAGGTGGAAGTCTAACAGGGAAAGTGTGGAAGAGGGCCCCAGCAACCAAAACAAACCGTATCAACTTCAGCCATCTCTTCTTCTCTTTTTTGTCGAGGGGAAATCGGCAATAAGAGATCGTTTTGTTCACGTCGTTTCTGTTATTGCAACACGGGATACAGCACTGCACTACGAGAATAAAGTCATAATATTACAAGAATAAAGTCGTAATATTACAAGAATAAAGTCGTAATGTTACGAGAATAAAGTCGCAATAATACGAGAATAAAGTTGCAATATTATGAGAATAATGTAATAATAATAATACAAAAAAAAAAGTAATTTAAATGAGAGAAAGGCTTTGATAGAGTTATCAAGATCTGATATGAGCAGCTCAACCAAACAGCAGCCTCAGCCTGAGCCCAGCAGGTCTCAGTCGTACCGTACAGTCGACAGGTCAGCTAACATATTCATCATTTTGTCGTTAAACAGTTATGACTTTATTCTCATAATTTCCACCAAAAAGAGTTATTTTTTTCTCTTAGTATGGCCCTAATACTCCGTCGTACTGCACCATTTTACTGTTATTGAACTGTTAGAATATTAGCGAATGGACACAAAGTGGCTTTTTGGATATGATGACGTAGCACCTAGCCATGCCCATATCTTTCTCGACTCTGATTAGTTGCTTTCATTCAGGCCCGGTGTATTCATATAATTGCCTTTAGGAGCACTAGAACCAGACAGATTATCTGTCTCATGTACAACTGTAAGGATACTGTGACAATTTCAGCAATAATTACAAAAAGTTATTTTTTTGAGAGTTACCTACTGCAGCTTTAATCGATCATAAACCGATCGACTGACTACTGACTGGGTGCGCACTCCCGCTTTGAAGGAAGATATTCACGGGAGCGCGCACGCCTATTGAGCAGACACCGGTGGACCTGCCGCGTGCCCGAGCAGTGAGTCCGGTAAAGCTGCTGCCTGTCACCATAGCGACGAGACCCCGGAAATACACTGTAACCTGCCGGTGGTGATCAGCTTACTGCATGTTTATCTGCCGCTTTGTTTATCAAAGAGGAACGAACTCATACCCGCCGAGTTTGTTTGTTTGTTTATTGGTTCGCGGGTGGAGTCAATAAACATGTCGGAGCCTGAGGAGGAGCTGCAGGGAGAGCCGAGAGACAGCACGAAGAAGAAGAAGAAAGAAAAACGAAGCGGGAAGAAGAAGAAGAAGCAGGAGAAGCGAGAGGAAGAAGAGCAGCAGCAGGTGGAGGAGGAGGAGGAGGAGGAAGAGGAGCAGAGGTGGGTGCTTGTTTCTCAGGTTCCTTCAGTTTCAGGTGAATCAGAGGAGGTCCTTAAATCCTCCATTTCAGTAACAGTGTCAAAACTCACAAAACTCTATTAAAATAAAGCCCCGCAGTAGAACGTTACCATAGAAACGGTGCAGTAATGGTGTGGCCTGTTAAGTGACTGACGCATCAGCACCAGCTACTATAATGACCTCACATGCCTTTCACTGCTTACTGATCAGCTGAAGAACCACATTCTCTGCAACTCTTCAATAACAACAATAATAATAATAACATAATAATAATAATAATAATAATAATAATAATAATAATAATAATAATAGTTTTCAGCCAAATGTAGTACATGTTAATAGAATTTTCTCCAAAACCGGCTAAAGAAAATGCTCATTATTGTGATTTCTCCATCCACTGCTGTTAGGAGTTGCATGCATCAAAATATTAAAGGTCCAGTGTGTAACATTTAGGTGGAAGCATTGGCAGAAATGGAATATGATATTCATAACTATGTTTCCATTAGTGTCTTGTCCCCTGAAAATAGGCACTGGTATGTTTTTGTTACCTCAGAATGAGCCTTTTCTATCTACAGACACTGCCGGTAGTCTTCCATGGAGTCTGCCATGTTGAACCGCCATGTTTCTTTCTACAGTAGCCCAGAAGAGACAAACCAAACACTCTCTCTTAATATTTAGGGGGAGGGTGGCTGCAATTACGCCGCTATATGCCGCTAACTCCCACACATTGGTCCTTTAAACCATTTGAGAGGATGGAAATATAACACCTACGTTTGTCTCCTCATTGCTCCACACATTTGTCTGACATTTTTTAACCTCTACAAGCTTCAGTCACATTAAAGTCACATGCTTCATGTAGACTATGTCGTCATTGAGTGCAACATTTCCATTTCGCAACGTTTCACATTTTGTTTTTATTGATATACCAACTGTTCCACCCTAGCCAATCATAGCAGCTGTAATATTTAGGCTTTTTTCTGAATTTACAAACAAAATGTACATAAAAAAGTGGACAGAAATTTACTTCATGTGCTAAAATCACTGAGCAGTAGCTAGGCTGTTTTTAGGCTGTAAAATATGAAAATAACTCCAGCTGTCGGACAGATGTACCCAGTGATTTGGTGATTTACAGGATTAAACTTGTTTTTAAATTTGGATGGATGTTTCCAAGGTCAGGTTTGGTGAACTTTGAATCTCAGCTGTATATTTGATGTTTGATATACAATACAGGATCTTCCACTGTCTGTTATAGTGGAGTTGACCTGCCTTGCCTGAAAAAAGGAGGGCCTCCACTAATGTGATTACTTTATTATAAAATATGTTAAGTTTAATAATATATTAAGGGAAAAAGGCCCCAATTCACACAGCAGTATACTTAGGTTGTTGACCAAATACCTGCAAGACATTCCCACTCGCCTCACCTATACTTTCCGTTTACAAACTAAGATGATGAACTTGGTACACCTGCTAAACACCACCATGATAGCATGTTAGCATTAGCATTTAGACATGTAATGTGCCTGAGTTGAGCCGCAAAGAGCTGCTAGCATAGATGTAGACTGCATCAGATAGATGGATGGATAAAATAATATTAGAGTGAACAAAGCGACTTTCTATTCTTCTAATTTGTTTAGTTTGTTCACTGATGACAAACAGAATAAGTAAGAAAGAAATCAGATCGTCAGTATGACCCAATGATTGATTCAGCTCATTGATTGGTAAATGTAAATGATGAAATATTTAATCTATATCAGTTTTAGACCTGTGATTGGTTGAAATAAACTCTGTGTGTGTTTGTGTGTTAGTGAGTGTGTTCTGCTGCGTGGGATCTTCAAACTGGGGAAGAAGAGTCACGATGTCCTGCTCACCCGAACCAGACTAACTTGGACCCCCATCACTCCGGAGACCCCCACAGGTCAGTTACCACAGTGACTGGTTGTCATGGTGATAAGTTGCCTTACCGCTGACAGACATACAGACAGGCAGACTGTGTGTATGTCGAGACAGCTGGTGCTGTAATGGAGAAGTTCTGTTATGTTGAGACCACCTGAAACAGGACATCTGCACACACACATATCATATTATTATTATTATTATAAACTCACAATGAATAAAATAAAACCATGGGTTCGAATCCAACCTGTGACTCTTTGCTGGGTGTCATTCCTTCTTTCTTCCCCCTTTCCTGTTGATCTTCAGCTGTCCTATCAAATAAAGGCAAAAGGCAACACTGTAACATGACCAGCTGATCCCAGAGCTGTGAGGGAGAACTGATCTAATTTGTGTAAGTTGCATATTTGCTCAAATTCAGGTACAAGGTGGTCACAGGCAGCAGACCTTAATCTTCACAATGAAATACACTTTCACCTCCAGTGTAAATGTAAAAGACAAAACCACTGAGTCAGAGCACTTGAGAGTAATTAGAGAATGAAGGAGTGATTTAGGACACCATAGATGACAGATGATAGTGTGTACATGTTGTACAGCATCTGAATGCTGTACTGTGCCATCACAACACATTCTGCTAACATGTTATTAATGAACAAGAACATTTGTGAATCGATTTAAAATCGTATAAGAGAAGAATTGCAATTTCCATATGAGCCTTTTTGTCCATTTTTCTTCCTCTACGTCTACTACCTGGACTGACTGCAGGTGCTGGCCTCTGAGCGGGGCCACCACTATCTCTCATTTAGTATCTCAGCCATGTTGGCTTCCTGCAGCTCTGATCACAGCAGAAGCTGTCAGATTCCTTCTTGTTGTGAGAGGCAGGCAGTAGCAGACGCTTTATATCAAGGTAGCTACATCTCCAGCTTGACGAACAAAACTCAATTAAAGCACACACATTAAAAAACCCAGAGGGGGAGGAGTATATAGAACCGATGGAAGTAGAAAGGAGCTGTCTCCAGTTTGGCAGTGTGACAGATCCTTTAAAGGTTAACACAGTCTCTGGTTTAGTCATGTTGTGGTGATACTGTGGTAATATTTCTGTATCAGTGTGGTAATATTATGGTACTATTTTGGTTAAGGCATGTGTTGTGTGTTAGTTTTTGGTTGAAATCCATTCAGGCAGCGCTGGTTAGTGGAGCAGGATGAAGGTGTAAATACAGTGTGTGTGTGTGTGTGTGTGTGTGTGTGTGTGTGTGTGTGTGTGAGAGTGTGGTTGAAGCCAATCTGTTTTGCTGTATTTCATCCAAGGTAGTGTCATTAAGCCAGCCCTCTTTGTTTGTGTGTGTGTGTGTGTGTGTGTGTGTGTGTGTGTGTGTGTGTGTGTGTGTGTGTCGCGCGCGTGTGTGCTAGTGTGTGTGTGTGTGTTGGCAGTAGTATAGAGCAGTTGGTTCGGCCCGTGGGGGGTTATTAGAGTCTCTCAGTGTGAGGAGATTAACACACGGACAGACACACACACACACACACACACACACACAAACAACACACACACACACACACACACACACACACACACACACACACACACACACACACACAGCCTGTCAGCATGCTGTTTGTGTGTGTGTTGATGAGATATTTCTATATAAATGGATCAGCTGTTGTTGTTTATTGCTACACATGAATTCATCCTCTCTCACCCTGCAGCCTGTCTCCCTGTCTGTCTGGGAGGTGAGACCTGAGCTGTCAGGTATCCCTGCAGTAGTATGAAATAATTTCAAATAACACCCGGCCCACTTTTCAGTTAGTACACAATAAGTCCTTTAGTGTTTTGTACCAACATGAAATACATGCAGATAGATTTCAATAGTGTTTCAAAGTGGCAGGAGCCTCGGGGGGCTGCTGGTATCAGGAGTCCCATTAATTCCCTCCATAGACAATGTTAGGTGGCTCACAGTAAGAGCATTTGGACTGGCATGAAGAACTCTTGGTTGAATCATCAAAATAAAAGAGATGTGTGTTAGAAAAGATCTCATTCTTTTATTAGAAGTTTAGGGAAGAAGATCACTGGAAGAAGATCAGGGTGTTTTTCGAAGGAACAGTCACTGAGTTCTGTGATGTGTGCTGCTCATCATGTCGGGTGGAAGCTAAAGATTAGTTGAGAAAACTGATAATACAGTCAGCATCTTAAATTGATTCACGCTTCTGGCATTTTCTCCATGGCAACAGCGGCCGAGGGTAGTGTGGTATTTAGAGCCTGCCCAGCTAAATGACCTAAAACATTATTGGTGGCCACAATAAAGTAAAATTATCTGTTTTTCTGGTTGGAGAATTCCCACAGACAGTAAAGTATCTCTGGAGGTTTTAGGATAGTGAGAAGTGTGAAGGGACAATAACCGATCCATTTACAATCAATTTACGATATCAGTGCGGTAGAGCAGTTTACATGATCAATTTCATCAGTGACGCTGAAGGAGCGATGCAGCGCTGGAGCCTCAGAGTGTGTGTGTGTGTGTGTGTGTGTGTGTGTGTGTGTGTGTGTGTGTGTGTGTGTGTGTGTGTGTGTGTGTGTGTGTTTAAATTATGATCCATAACTCCCCACAGTGATCCACATGGCCTGGTCACCATGAGACCGGACTGCCACTGTGTGTGTGTGTGTGTGTGTGTGTGTGTGTGTGTGTGTGTGTGTGTGTGTGTGTGTGTGGTTGTGGTGCCATCCCTAAATGTTTAATTACTTATTTTGAGAATTTCCATGTTTTTAGTTTAGAATTAGGACAAGGTGAAGCCTCCAGGGAGAAAATGGAAGTTGGTACCAGGTCCTCACAATGATGATAACACCAACATAACATATACATCTATTTGTGTGTGTGTTTGTGTGTGAGTGTGTGTGTTGGCACAGTGGGTCGGTGAGGGCATGATGGGAAACTCATCTCCATCTGGAACCGACCAACACCCTACCTGTGACTGGCAATACGCTGTGTGTCTGTGTGTGTGTGTGTGTGTGTGTGTGTGTGTGTGTGTGTGTGTGTGTGTGTGTGTGTGTGTGTGAACAGCAACTCTGTAGGTTCCATCAACTCAGATCAGATCATCTTTATTGGGTTGGATGGAAAATCTGTCTCTCTCTCTCTCTCTCTCTCTCTTTCAATTTCATTGTTTCATTTCCACTGTCTTTATTGAGAGTGATTTGTGTTGCCAAAGCAAAGAGAAAAAAAAAGAACAAAGGATAAAAAATAGAGCTGTCCCGAGCCGATCTTAGCTGCTCAGTTGTAGCTGGTATTGACCGTCCCTTTTGTGGTAAAAAATGAAAAAGTAAATAAACACAGCTTAATGTTAATTGCGTGAGTAACTTGACTGCAAGCCAAAAAGGTCTGTAGCTCCAAGAGGGTGATAGGTCTTCTCTCTAGCACATTACGCCATGTCACATTCTGTTAATCTGTCATTCATATTATATTAGGGCTGCACGATACCCTAATAACATCATAATGGGATTCTTCTGACAGATATTGCAATATGATTAATTACTTAATTAATTTGTCTAGCTGTAAAAGTAAAAGTAAAGTAAAAGATTTAGCAGGTAAAGAGCCCAATATTTTCTCAGGAGTTGGTGGAAACCAAACCAGAACTGAAGCGAGTGAATATTGGACTTAAGATTTGTTGGTTGGACAGAAACACTATGGCACAGGGATGAGACAGCAACTGTTTGTTAACATCCACTATATACATTTTTTAAAGTTAAAAATGTATGGAGCTATGAAATTTAATGTCAATAGGGAATAGATCTGTGATTTAGTGAAAATAACAGATCTCAAGTCCCTGTTGCCAACTGTGTGTTCAGACTTCAAAGAACATTAAAGTGATTTTAAGAGGCAGTGCCATTGCATATAAAGTCATTACTATCGAATAGAATACAGCTTTACTGTCCACAAAGGCAAAATGCTAATTTGGTCTAGTAGATGCAGATGGAAGCACATTTGCTCGAGATTAAAAAGTTTGAATTTGAGAAAATAATTCTCATGCAGATGAAATGAAAACGAGACAATTAACAGAAAGAGCTGAAGCTCCTGATGAGATCAGAGTCTGAGCTGAACACACACACACACACACACACACACACACACACACACACAATGTCTAAATATGATGAAAACGTGTCCTGGAGGTATGTTTAAAGCTTAACGCACACATTTATATTTAATATTCACAAAATGAAATGGACACAATGAGCAGAGAATGAAGCATCAACAACAGACAGACCACAGCCCCACACACACTGTGACCCTGACATATGGACGCCGGCCTCTCCTGGTGGAAGAGGGGTGGGTGCTTTTGGGTATTTGGTATTTGATAACAGCAGGGTATTTCACAGAGAGGGGGGTTAATCAGCTATCATCATATATAACTATTTCCTGATGGATCTGTCCCCCTCGAGTGGTACAGAGCTGTTTACTGTATGTTTTGCTGGATTGTTTGTTATTTTTGTTGTTTTTGGATATTTGAAGGTGATATGTCATGTGTTCCTTGAGTATATGTTTGTTGTGGGAATGCAAAGTCCAAGCAATTTCCCTCATTATTATTATTATTGGACATTTAACAGTCAATAGTTGGTTAATGAAAAAAATCCATATTTTTCAATAGTAACTGTATTTTCAAACTACTGGCAAAATCCAAATAAAGTGATTATGTGGGACAGATCAGTACTTAAAAACATAAAGTTTTGTAGCTATGAATTATCAAGTGAACATATCACATGCAGTATTTTATATTGTGAACAATATTAATGTTAATTTAAGTTTGAATTTCAAATAAACAATGAGAGCCTTCTATATACTGTCTAAAGCTGGGCTGTATGTTTCAATCTGGATGGATAAATAATAGAAGAAATCTGGATGGATTTAAAAATTTCTCTTGATTAAAGTGGATTAATATATCTCATCAAGGAATTTGTTTTTTTCATGTTTGTCCACCTGCTGGGACGTGTCTGTCTGTCCTTTCCCTTCAGCTTCTTTCCCTCCTGGTTTGATTCTTAAAATAAAATAAATGTCAAATTCAGAAACAGAATTGGGCTGCAACTAACGAATTTCATTATCGAGTAATCTGTTGATTCTCAGTTAATTGTTTTATTGATAAAATAATATATATGTTCAATTATATATACCAATTACATGTTAAAAATGTCAAACATATTCAGTTTAACAGAAAAAAACAGGAAAGATGCAAATTCCCACATTTCAGAAATTGGAAACAAATATTTAGATTTTCTCTCTGATAAATGACTTATAGAGACCTATAAAAAGCCAAATTGAAACTGGAACTTTCATTCAAAAACTTCTTTTAAAATCCTACTGACACTTTAACTATGCTAATCCAGCCTTTCTCAGCAGTATGTCGTATGGCTCACTTCATAGGTTTAGATAAGGATAGTGTGTTTTTTTTATTTTTATTCTACCTATGTTTTTTTAGTGGCCTTTAACAAACTATACTTTAAATATTCCCATAAGCCCACCCATGGTTTGAATATCACAGCTCCATGAGTCCAGTTTAGTCATATAATAATGGCAGGACAGAGAGGACTGTAGAAGTTTTTAACAGCACAGATTACGATGTGAGTTTAGAAGAGGGCTTTGGTGAATTTTGGACGCAACCAAATTACGATGACTCATGGGAACTGTAGTTTAGTTTGTATTGTGTCTTGTTGTTTAACTTTGATAATACCACAAAAGGCTCCAGTCTCTAATAGTAACTGCTATAGCGGATGCCGATTTGTCTTGGAAAGTAAACCCCAGGAACAGACACTGTTTTCAAACAGACCGATAAAAGTAAAATGCTGAATGAAAGATTGCATTGTTCTCCTGGAGCCAGTGTAACACAGACAGCTAGAGCTCAGACATGGCTCTTTATTAAAATAGTTGACAATTCATTTTCTGTTTGTTTCATTTATGGCTTAATTGATTAATTGTTTCATCCCTACGCACCAATACACTTTCTAAGCTCTGGGAAAGTTCAACAAATAATGAATTTAATTTTATATAATTATATAATTTATATAATGAATGTGCTTCAGGGGATTTTTTTAGTTGCAGTTCTACGGTCGACAACAAGGACACACTGGTAACAGGCTAACTCTGCTGCACTGTATCAGCTCGGTTTATAACAAACATGGTATGGATAAAATCTGTATGTGTGTGTCTGTCTGTGTGTGTTATGTTACTCTGAGTGTAAGGTACTGAGCTCTGCTGACATCATCTTCAGAGGATTGGATGATTAATCTGATACGAACCAATCAGATTTCAGAATTGCTCCCTGATTACGCTGATTGACTGGCAGGTGCTACTGTGCGTTCTGCTGATCAATGGATTAATAATGAATACAGTTAATAATATTATGTAATGAGAACACAGATGAACTAGTACTTTCTTATTTTACTGACTGACAAGGGGGGTGGACAAAATAATGTGAACACAACCTCTTTGCAGCCTGGGCAGGCCTGGGTTCAGGGGTTAACACTGTCCACTCCCGGCTGGGGTAGGGCCTTTCTGTGTTACTCCGGTTTCCCCCACCATCAGAACATGTATGTTAGGTTAATTCTCCAGTCAAGGCACTGACTTCGATGTGGCTTTGGTCCCTGAGTGCCGTGCAGTGGCTGCCCAGTACTCCTTATTAGGACTTGTTGTTGGACGTGTGTTAAATGCAGATTACAAATTGCATTTGCAACGTTTTATTGTGTATGATTGTATATGTGAGAATAAAGTTGATTCTGTTGAGTATCAGTAATATAAACAGATAATGTTATTAACAAACATTATTATATATTATTAGTAATAATTTGATTGTTCACAGACATATTTATAATACTATTTCTATTACTATTTTTACGCTTTCATAAGACAGAAAAAATACTTATATTCTATTTGAGGTATATTTAATAAAAATGTGTGTTGGCTTGCCATCGACCACCACACTAACATCAGCTAATATCAAAGTTAAGGAATTATTTAAAGGAGCATTTTGAAAGTTTGGCATCTTCTCCAGAGTCAGATGAGAAAATGTACATCATACAGAGCCATTTTTAGTCTAGTTTAACATAATGACTGTAAGCAGCTCCAACTCCAAGGCTGACTGATACATGTTGTATCCTGTGTATTAAACAGTTGTAAAAATAAAAATGTAATAAGATAGCTAACGAACTAGCTAGCCAACTAGCAAGATACAAAACACAGTCAGTCAGAGTTTGGCTGGTAGCCAAACTGTGCGGCTTATGGCGAGTTGACGTTTATAGACTTGTTGGATATAGTCAGCAATTTGAATGAATTCAATTTTGGATTAAAAAAAATGTAGGCCACACCGGGATGGCAATGTTGGTCTGATGTCTGGTACTGACTAAAATATCTCAACAACAAATATACAATGATTATGACATATGCAGACACTCATGGTCCCCAGAGGATTCATTCAAATGATTTCCTCTTGATTTATGCTGTAGCGCCAACATGAGGTTGACATCTTTGGTTCGGAGTGAAATTTTCTCCAGAACTTTGGATGGATACTCTTTTCTTGTTGCACCATCAACAAATTAGCATTCCCATCAATTAGAAAATGTTAGCTTGCTAACACATTAAATTAAGTCGTTGTGCATGATAAACATCTGCTAAACATCAGCATGTTAGTATTTTCATTGTGTTGTGTATTATGTTAGCATGTGACTCAAAGCAACGTAGTGCCTAACTACAGCCTACAGTCATTAGCATGGCTATAGACTCTGTATAGTCTTGTTTCACTGTCTTTAATGATGAGCAGTAAAATATACATTATTAGTTAGGGTGTGTGTTATGTTCAGGTGTCGTGTGTTAACTCTTCTTCTCTCCGTGCAGCTGAGGTGTGCGTGCTGCCGCCAGGTGTGCTGCTGCTGCAGGATGTGTTTGCGGTGAAGGTGAAGCGGCGACGAGCGGTGGGCCAGGAGTCAGGGGGAGCTGTGCTCGGCGTGGCTCTGTTCTGCTCCAAGAGGAGAGGGAGGTGGCTGGAGGAGGACACACTGCACCTCCACAATGCCTCGGCAGAACACACAAACACCTGGTACAACACCCTGAAGGAGCTGCTCACAGGTAACACACATTCAGACCAGGGTGGCCTACAACAATTTAACAGAACATTAATTCATTACAAAATGTAACGGAAGGAAGGTTTCCAGATGTTTTAGCGTGGAGGTTGGGAAATAATGTTCTGTGCAGTACTTACTTGTTTAAGTAGAAATGGGTCATTGTTTCTGGAAAGTGACATTGGTGTTGAGAGGTGGCTACAGCTTAGGTGGTAGAGCCCTTAATCATAGTGGTTGGTAGTTTGATTCCTTTCTCACTCTGTCAAGACACTGAACTGGTCTGGACAAAAGCCTTTGACAAACGTATGCAATGTAAATGCTGCATTTGGATGCTTTTAGTACCATAAACCAAGTAAAATGCCAAACTCTGAAATGTGACTGTGAATACATATGTTTTTGTGATTGGATGAACTTATCTTTAAAACACAGATATCCCACTTAGGGCCCAGTCTGGAGCCTCTTAGGCCCCATCTGTCAGTCTGATGGAGCAATTAAGAAAACCAGACTGATAGTGAGATTAACAGTTTGTCTGTGTTACATAAGAGCTGAGATACACTGGAAACATGACTCAGTGCTTCTACTGTATGAGCGTCATACTGTAAGATGATTACACACACATACACACACACACACACACACACACACACACACACACACACACGTTGCAGAGTAATACTGTTATTATTAGCTGTCTTTCCATCAGATAGAAAGAGAAATAGGTTTAAGTATTTTGGAAGATACACAGTGATCTGATATAAAAACATGTTGTGACGATTGAGACGCTGATAAAGAGTGGAAACAATGTAATTCAAATTTGATTTTGAATCATATCAGATTTTATATACTTTTTGATTGTGCATGGATTAAGTTTTATACCTTTTAAAATGTAAATAGTTAAATAAAAATAATGAGTGTTCCTGCAAAAGTGACCCGTGTCCTACCCTTGCCCATCTGCACCAGAGAGCGTCTCTCTCTGTGAGTGTTTCTCTGGAGAGCAATGCCTGAAATGGGCTAGTACTAACAGGTACTGCATACTGCCACCTCCTGGTGAGTCTAGGAACGCAACCCTTAACATTTGCATAACATTTGATTTTTTACCCCCACTGACATTCCGTGAAGACCTTGCCTACTCTGCATTGGTTAGTGTCTGTTGCCTTTGTTGGTTTGGTTGGTCAGGCTCTGGCATTAGGAGTGACACGGTCAATGTCAGGGTCGTCAATCAGAAGCAGAGAAGGGGTGGAATACAGGTGGAAAAAACGCCTGCATAACTACGTTTCTGAAACTCGATGGAATTGTCCTCATTAAAATTGATAAAAAACACCAAAAAGTTATGGTTTGGGGTATGTTATGGTTAGGATAGTGCTGAATTATGGTACTGCCACCTTTTTTGGTCCACTTCCGGCACTACTGCCGAGCAGTGTGATTGACACTAGACTGTACAGGAGGGGCAGAGCGAGGGGAGATTGTGGATATTTGTACTGTGTGTGAATGATGGAGCAAAACACAATGTTAAAGAGAAGTGTAAAAATATTTTCAATTCAGTATTAATCTATGATGGGGCAAATTAGACCGTGGTGGCCTGCCATAACCTAGGTACCTAATAGGAAACACTGATGTGCGACACTGGGCAGTTTTTGCTTGATTGTCTTTAGTTTTTATGCACTTGTTTTAAGTTGATGTCTCTGGATGTTCTATCTATTTTAACCTGATCTGTCTGCTGCATCGGCTGTGAGGATGAATTTTTTTACTGACTTTTTACCTATGTGTTCCTGTCAGTGGTCTTAAGTGGAAATTGCATGGCTACAAAACTTGGCTACGCACAGCGACAACAGAACCTTAAACTCTTTAAAAAAATAAAAAATAACATTTATTTTTGGATGCTTTACCATTGCAACTGCCGGCTGTATGGACCAAAGCGCTGCTCTGTAACCCATTGTTTGCTCTGTGGCCGAGGACTTCGATGTCACGCTGCTGTCGTCTGACACCATAACCTCTCTCTTCCATCCTGTTGGCCACTGGTTCTGTCAGACAACCAGTGGCCTATCCTTGCAGGCCTGCTCCTCTCCACACAGACAGGGGGCATGGGTCACAGTAAACAGAAAACACTGGCAAGGTAAACACCTCTGGATCTGGACAAATCGGTTTGGTGTGCTGGATGAGCCAGGGAGACCGTGATTCATGTCGGTTTCCATCTTAATTGCTAATTACAACAGTTGTTCCCTTGGACTGGGGCTTTAGTGCTCGTGATTCATATTCAGCAGCTCTGGTTAACATTTGGCTAGCTACCCAGTCTGGATGTTAGGGATGTGTTTTCCATGGACGGTAGTGGAAAAGAGGTGCTGGTTTTTTCTCCTGTTTGTAGCTCTTACCGGGGGTCATCTCGCCATACCCATGCTCCAGGGGTTATGATATATACCACTACCTTGTGTTATTTGGAATAAAGTCATAATGTGTGAACATGGCTCTTTGCAGACATTGCACTGCAGCCACCCATCCAGGGCATCCTGCAATATGAAACACAGTCACATTTGTCTACTGTATCTCTATGAATGGCTTCTACTGACATGATAGGAAGAAAAAACATGAGCTATACATTTGTTATGTTCATTGGTTAGCTAGTTGTTAGCCATATGCAGTGCTAGCTGCTCAGATTATAATTTCATTGTCTTCTATCAGCCTGTTCGTCACTCAGTTTAATGAGGTGAGTCACAGTTACATCAGACAGTAGAGCTAATCTGCTAATCCACCGGAACAAAGTGACAGATTACACACACACACACACACACACACACACACACACACACACACACACGCACACACACACATTCATTAGTACTCAGTAACATGCTGTCAGCAGTTGAATCATGTTGTCTGCAAGAGAGATTAGCTAAAATACTGTCTACACATACACGTGTGCGTGTGTGTGTGTGTCCATTGAGGTCCAGTGAGGTTCAACACTGATGTTGAGTGATGAGGTCTGGCTCACAGTCAATGTTCCAGTTTATCCCAGAGGCATTGGATGAGGTTGAGGTCAGAGCCCTGAATCCAGTTCTTCCACACCGAACTGGGAAAACCACAGACTTGAGATTCATATCAAACACATTTCAGTCTCCGAAATAAATAAAGCAAATGTGCTGCACAAAATGTTTAATTATTCCTTTAAAGCTGCACTAGTGAATATTTTATATTAACAATGTCACTGGAACACTCACTGTTTTGGTCTTTTGGCCTGCAACTTCACTGATTTGTTTCACTCTCACCGATCGTTCCAAGCTGCAGCAAAAAAGAAAAAGGTTTTGATTAACCCACTGTACACAGCCTGCTCAGCACCAAACAGCAGGCAGACAAAGTTAAGAGACTAGCTTCTTTTTAAGAGAGTGAATATTGGACTTAAATTCAGCACGACTCCAAATGAATGCTAATGTTGCTTCGTGTCTGCTGGATACAAAATTATAGAAATAGGTGTAAATAATAACACATTCCCCAACAACAACTTAGAAGGTGCCGGTAAAAGTGTGATTTTCTCTCTGCCTAATCTTTATAAAAATCTCCCACATTGTTGTGGGCCATCAAGTAAGTGAGTAAAAGTGTTCCTTTGTGTAGATTTCATAATCTTTAACAAAGTGAATTCAGGCAACTTGTGTCTCAGCAACACAGCCACCTCCTGACAGGACCCGTTTAATAAAGTTCTGGATGTTGCTGAGGACTGAAGTTCCCAGACGTCGGTTTCCCAGGTGCACTCTAGTGGGCGGTGCCTGGCTGACACTTAACACACAATAGAAATGTTGGAGTGCTAGCTGTATGGATTTGACTCAGACAAACACACTCTACATTTCAGGGTTTCTATGTTCTTCCAACAGAGATGTAACAAGCTATCCACAAATGAGGAAGTCAAAGGTCTCTCAGGACACGCCATCGTCGTCCTGTCACCATGGCATCGGTCTGACACGTTATCGCTGGTCACCTGTCTGTCTGTCCGTCTGTCTGTCCATCAAACCAGATTACCCATGAGGCCCTGCAGCAAAGTCACAACTTCTTTAAGTGTTTGTCTTTGGCCTCACTTTCCCTTCACACACACATACATGAATGGCTCACAGGTCGTGTGTCAGCTCGCATGGTCACACTCCACATCAAACTGTGACGGCTTTTGTGACTTTACACACCGCGACAGACCAGTGTGTGTGTGTGGAAGGTAAACACAGTCGGTTGCTCTGCTGCTGTGCGGACATTAAGCCTATTTTCCAGCCAGAGGTCAGTGTGAAAAGAGCATTGTTGTGTGAATCGTGTTGTTGCGGAGCGGGCAGTCCCGCCACTGCAGACACCACCGCCACTTCTTAACCTTCAGGTCCAAACATTCAGCTGCACAATGGTGAGCAGAGAGCAGACACTTTCTGTTTCCAGAGCGTTATTCTGTGCAGTTTGCTGTGTGAAGCAGCTGCAGAACGCTGCGTGGAGAGTGAATGGCAGTCAGAGTGACAAAAGGCGAGCAGTGATGGTGTATAGAGTCTCTTTCCATACACGCAGTCAGACGGCGGGATGGATTGACTGCAGTTGTTTAACAGCACAAGAGACTGACAGGCCGGCGGCAGCGACTGGGCTCATGGGACGGCCGGACTGGGTTCGCCCAGGCCGACAGGGGCTGTTGCGACTCCTCCCAGATCAATTGTCTTGTCAATCCAATGTCAGTTTTCTGCTCACTTACAGATCTTTTAGTTTAGGTCCACAGTGGAAAAATGAAGTCAGTGGGTCGGTCGGGTGGTACTGTAAGGTGTCATAAGGTCAAAATAATATCATCAACACACTGTGTGGCCATTAGTGATGGGGATCGATCGCATTGTATCAAAATCCAATCCACTTATGGAATCCAAATCCAATATTAAGTCTCTCCAACTCAAAGATCACTTTTTTCTTTTATTTTCTATTATTTATTTATTATTTTCATCATCATAATCATTTGATTCTTTTCTTGATTAATCCTTGGGTCTATAAATTGCCAGAAAACAAACCCCTTTAGAATTAGCCCAAGGTGATGTCCTCAAATGTTTTGTCTGACAAACAGTCCAAAACTCAAAGATACTCAGTTTACAATTATGTAAAACAGAAGCGCAGCAAATCTTCACAATGGAGTTATTTTTCTTGAAAAATGATGTGATTGATTTGCTATTATCAAAATAACAGATACATTTTCTGTTGAACTTAGCGTTTAATTGACAAACTTTCCAGCTCTAATTATAACTTTCTAACTGTCATAAAATAATGTCTTTTTTTACACATATTACTTTAGTCTTAAAATGTCAAACCCACAAACACGGAATGACTGAGGAAGAACACAACATTAGTTTTATTGAGAGTTTAAACTCTGGAGACACAACTTGGTGTATCAAACAATGAGCTCAGAACACTAGTTTGTGTCTTTTAACAGAAGACACTGCAGTCTGAGGAGGCCACCTCTATAAACTGCTTTATGGCCCTGTGAGTGTGTGTATATGTGTGCAGCTCTGTGTTACATATTAACCGCTCTGTCCGAGTCAGCGAGTGTATCCATAGTGATATGATGACAGAAACCTGTCCGTCTCTGTCCCTCGCTTTTTATATTTAGGTTGAAGATTTTATTAGTTTGTCAGGAAACAAACTTTATTGTAGAGAAGCTCACATTCATATTCAACCCCCAATTAATATGCAGGTCAAAACCTCTGACATGCTAAACTAAGATGGTGAACATTATACCCGCCAAACATCAGCACGTTAGCTTTGTCACTGTGAGCTAGCTGATGTTAGCATTTAGCTCAAAGTACCACTCTGTCTAAGTACAGCCTCACAGAGCCTCTAGCATGGCTGTAGACTCTTGGTCTTGTTTGGATGGACTTAGAGACAACCGTTTGAGATGATTTCACTTAAGTTTTTTGAAAAGGTGTTTTCATCGTTCTTGACTGGATCTGCATTTCCCAAGAGGTGGTGAATAAAATGTTCCCATAACTGATAGTCATAATGGGAAAAATATGAAAATCAGACCCTGGTTGACAAATACTTGGACCTGCTACAAGGGATGCTACTTTTTGTTGTGTTTGATCAAAGAATCTGATTTCTCCAGATGGAGGTTCAAGGACTTACATTGATTACTACCTGCTTACCTCAGATGGAGTCTGCACATAAATATAATATGTTTTTGTCAACAACATTCAGTAATTGAGTCTGCAGTCCTCTGCCAGAAACTCAAACCTTCTTCTTGACAACACTGGGATTGTTTACCATGGTAACGTTTTAGCTGTGCCATAGAAACCTGCCGCCGGCCGAGGCTGAGAGATGACCTGATGGATACTTGATCTTTCTACAGCTACCTGTCTGTCTGCCCTTCTTCTTCGAAAAATATCAACAAATTGAATGAGGTCAGGTCCTGTGAGACTGTGTGTGTTAGAGAGCATCAATAATGCTTAGAGACAGAGAAGTCCGTTTTAGGCGTTCAAGATCACTTTAGCACTGATTTAGATTTATCAATTATTTTCTCACCATGAGCATTAATCCGCTTCCATAAACAGCGTAAATAGTATAATTCCTGACAAATGAGGCAAATTTTTTCCCCATGATTTTTGAGCTAAGATTTATGGACATTTATTTGTGAGGGACATCAGAGATAATATAGTCGGGAAATGCAAGCAACACTAAATCTAAAAATATGCCCATCATGTCTGTGTGTTCACATATGACTAAATTACCACTCAGTATGAAAGAGTATGAAATTTGATGCTAATTGCAGCAATTGAGTGTTGTAAAGTACCTTAATAGCCTCCATGAGCCACTGCTGCTGCTCCAGCTGCTGACTGTGTTGATATAAGCTGGCCAAACTACAAACTCTAACTTCCTGTTGTCTTTAGAACACCGGCATGCACCTGTCCCTTTCACCTCATGCAGTATCTTTGCTTCTTGCCTCTCCCTCCACACCGCCTCCTTTCAACCCTCCTGTGTTTCCCAAGGGAGGCATGGCTTTGAATTTAAAACCTCTGTTCTCAGTGGACCAAGAACCTTTACAAGAACTCAGGAACTTCACGTGTGTTTTCACCAAATGAACCAGGGGCCACATTTGGTTCCTGTATGATAGTTGCAGGTGTAAAAAATCTCTGCCCTGGGGTACCCAGACACCCAGTCTGCTATAAAATGTGTATAACTTCACTCACAAAATAAGGAAGTACTGGGTGACTCTAATACCAGTGTTAGGACAGGGGTGGACATGTCCTGTAATTTTGGAAATGGAACTTCATCAAAAAGGTCTATTTGGGTCCCAGTGCCGCCCTAGCTTCTGCTGTAGTGCTGCCTTTGGGGGCCAAGTGCCATGCCAAGCCCCAGGCCATCATGGCTCAGGTTATAATCCTCGGTCAGCAGCACTGGACAGCTGCGGGGATCTGACACTTGTAAACCAGGGTATAAATTCAATTAGTCAGGATTGGGGTCTATAAATGCTTTAATGTTCTGGGCTCACAAAGGAATTGTGTTGTTCGAGTTGGGTTAGGTTTGGGAAAGATTTTGGGGGGCACAAAAAAAATGGTTTGAGCTTCTGGTAACGGTGGGGGCCAAGTAGAGAGAGGAGTTGTGAGGGTGTTCGGTAACTCCTCACAGGACCTACTGAGAGCCCGGCCCGAGCTGTGGGGTGGAGTGATGGCAGGAGGTGCACTGTGTGTATGTGTGTAGGGTCATTATCGGGGCGAGGTCACGGCCTTTTGGGAACAGATTATAGTAATGAGCTAGATAATGGAGCTGGTGTGTGTGTGTATATTGATCAGTGGTGGTCCACGGGGATTTATAATGCGATCTCTAAATCTGCCTAATGATGAGCTGTACAGGGGGTCAGTGTGTGTGTGTGTGTGTGTGTGTGTGTGTCTGTAGTTTGGAGTCAATACCGTGCAACCACACAGACACACACACGTGTCCACCAATGTTGGTGATGTAACTGATATTCTGAATATTTAGCATCAATAAAGCTCCTCCAGATGTTAGAGCCATATATAGGTGTCTACTCTTTTAAGCATAATCTACAATTCATCCATTAAGACTCTTATTAGTTTGGTTTTATGTGACAAATGCTTTCTGCCTTCTGATCCAAACTAAGGTCACATGCAGGACTTAAAGTAAAGTGCTTAAAGTGTGTTCAGTTGTTTGATGCCAGTGATGATAGCACCGTGTATAGGGATCAGTGTTCATTCCAGGCAGGATAAACAGAGACTAGTAAATGCTATACGATAGTTTGGCTATAGAATATAGGAAAACATACTTTTTAACATTTTATTGGCTAAACAATTAAATGCTTAATCACAAAAAAACAAAAACACAGGGTGACTTAGAACGAGGGTGAATGTGAAAGCGACACATCACTTTACCTGTTCACTGACGCACATAGATGGTTTGGAAGTCTTCATTAGGAAAACTAAAACAACCTGATATTCGCCCCTTAGCTTGTTCGTCTAAGAGTCTGCTTTGAGCTAAATGCAAACATTAGCACAATAAAAAATGCTAACATGCTGATTCTTTGCAGGTATAATGTTTACCATGTTCACCACTTACCTCAGCATGTTAGCATGATATCATTTTCTAATTATCACTAAATGCAAAGTACAACTGAGGCGGTTGAAAAGTCATTATTTTTGCAAGTGTTGGACAAATAAGAAATGTGATCTGATGATGACACTATAGATTTAAATGATCGCTTAAGTGATCAGGAAACACTGATCGAGTCAGTTCTCTGGGAATCATACATTTCTGTAAAATCCACCTGGTAGATGTGGAGGTGTTGAGAAGTGATGGGGGGCGCTAGAGGGAAAGTCATGGGATCACAAAAGTCATTAGGAGTCATCCTCTGGGGAACGTCAATATTTCAAAGCAATCCATCTATTTTCAATAAAACAACTGTAATATTTGTAGCTACTCACTATGTGTGTGTGTGTGTGTGTGTGTGTGTGTGTGTGTGTGTGTGTGTGTGTGTGTGTGTGTGTGTGTGTGTGGTTGCAGGGTTCAGCATTCGTCCCAGGTATCTAAAGGTGTTCATCAACCCCCGCAGCCACAAGAAGGAGGCCGTTCACATTTACAGAGAACATGTGGCTCCGCTCTTCAAGATGGCTGACATCCGCACTGAGATCACAGGTCAGTCCACACACTTCTTTATTGATCGACTGGTCATCAACAGATAGTAGTGATTATTATTTTATACCTCAGACTGATTGGTGGATGATGTCACAGCTATTGCAATGTATTGTAATACAATGATGAGTTTAAGGGCAGTAGAACTGTTGCAGAGAAGACAATGTTGAATCTGTGTGTGTGTGTGTGTGTGTAGAGGAGGTCCAAAGGTCAGAGTTAATGGCAGTCTCTGGTCGCTAGGTAACCTGATACTGGGGGTGGAGCTTAGCCCATCTGTTGTGACAGAGGGCGACAACCTGCTCCTCTCCTCTCCCCTCCCCTCTCCCCCCCCCCCCCTCTTTTCCCCCCTTTCTTTTTTTTTTTCTTGTTCCATCTCCTCTCCTTGTCCTTGTCTCTCTTCTCCTTTCCTGTTTCCTTTCCTGTTCTCTCCTCTCCTCTTTTTCCCTTCCTCATCTCCTTTCCTTCTCTTTTCTCCTCATCTCCTGTCCTTTCCAGTCTTTCCTCTTCTCTCCTCTCTTTGTTTCCTCTCCTTGCCTCCCCCTTATCTGTTTTTTCTTCTTGTTTCCTCTCCTCTCCCCTACTCATGTTTCTTCTCTTTTTTCCTCTCCTTTTTTCTCCTGGTTTCTCCTCCTCTCCTTCTTTCCTCCTCACATCTTCTCCTTTCCTATCCTGTCCTCTTCTCAGCAGATGGTGTGATATCCGTTGTCCCACTTTCTTTTGGCATCCATCGAACACACACTCGTGTACTTGACCACACACATGCATGAACACTCGATCTCTGTCCATCTCAATGTCTCTCCATCTGTTTCCCTCTCTTTTTCCTTCTTTCTCCTCCTCTCTCTCTGTCTGTCTGTCTCTCTCTATCTGTCTCTCTCTCTCCAGTGACAGAGAGGAAGGGTCATGCTCTGTCAGTGATGAAGGAATGCAAGCTGGATGAATATGATGGGTTAGTCTCTTATCCTTTGTCTCTCCTCCCTTTCTCTCCTTTGACTTTATATTGATCACTTGGCTGGGAATATATCACTCTTCTCCTGAGAAAATTGAGAAGTTTTTTTGGGCAATAACTTGCAGACAATTGCAGTGCATAAAATGATGCTCATCTTTATATTATTATTAATATATTATATTATGTTATTCTTTTATGCAAGTTAGATAATGTGTTGATTTTTTGTAGTCTTTAGTAGTACACTCGATTTCCTGCACTTAATACACTCAAACAACAAGAAACAACTGCACCGTAGTAGCTGATCCAATTATATTCGCTTAATAACAACATTTGAAGGGTTTAGTATTTGCAGTGGCATGGTAGCGACGAAGCTATCTTCCCTGGGAGAGGCTGCATTTTTGTGCAGAAATCGTTCCATTGACTATTTGCTTAGCCCCAGTTACTGGTGCTATTCGTGTCAAGTTTTGCGTTCTTGCACAGCACATTGAGATTCTTATACATTTTTTAAGCAATGCGTCTTTGATTTTCAGTCAGCCTACACCAAAGCAGTGTGTAATTTCAAGCGACCTTCGGTATTGCTAAAATGACATCAGCCACTGGCAGATTTTACCTTGTATTCCCGAGTAGAGCTTGTTAGTCCTCCTATTTTAAGTGTGATGAGGAAAAAGTTAAGATAGACAGTTATTTCATTCTAACTTAACCCTGTTTACATACTGAAGACAGAGGTTAGATTAATGCTTTATTGTTTGTATTGTCCAGCAGTATGTGACACTTTAATATTAGAAGAGACAAGGCGTTTAGGAGGGCTAACCAATATGTTTAGTACTCTATCTCAGATAATAACTTTGTCTGGGGTTGCTGTAACCGTCCCCAAATCCAATCCCAATGTTACAATCAATGATAGAAATGATGGAAGACATACATTCTATGAAACTAACCTTACAGTGGGAAATGAAGTCTAACACGTTAAAGTAAATAAGGATTAAGTTAAAGATTAAGGCCCTGTGTTTACATTCAAGTGGAAGGTAAACTGTGACATCATTCTTCCATAACAGAGTTAACTGAACCAGATAATTCAAGTGACACTAAAACACACTGACCCAGACTGATTACACACACGCACAAACACAGACAGGTGAGGTCAAACACCAACCGCTGACTGAGCAAACCTCCCTAATAAAAGTGAAAATAATATTTTGTGCTACTGAAACAAATAATGCTACAACGACAATAGCTCCAACTACAAGTACAAAAACACTGATCAAACTCTCATCACTATCTGTGATGGTCTCTGCGTGTGTGTGTGTGTGTGTGTGTGTGTGTGTGTGTGTGTGTGTGTGTGTAAGCAGCTTTTGTGCTCAGCCCTCATAAAGCTTAATGTGCTTAGAGAAGATTAGCTTCGTTGCTAAGCTAGCTGCTGAGTGTGTGTGTTTGTGTGTGTGTGTGTGTGTGTGTGTGAGGCTGCTCTGGTGAGGATTTGGTTGAAACCTACATTTGCCAATTAGGCTGGCTGTCACCGTGGTGACCGGAGCTACAGGTAATCCCATACGCAGGAGGAGGGGGAGGGGGGAGTCTGTTTACCTCACATTTACTGCAAACACAAGCTCTAAAGATGAACCTTCTCGCTTTTCAATGAGCTCCTGAAAACCCGGACGGACCTGACCAATTAAGTTATGATTAGGTATATTAGTTCATTATTACCAACCAATACCACTAGTACTACTGCTCTATGCCTATTGTCCACAATTATCAAGATCATAGGTTGGATTTTAGAGGCCAAACTACCGAAGCAGAACCCTAAGAAACCCAACAAAGATATTTTTGCCTAGTTACCAACCGAACTTTACATTTAAAATGTTATTTATGCCTTCAACTGTATATAATTGTAAAATGTAAACTCCTCTTCAGGTGATTCAACCCCCATATTGTCTGTTTATGTTTCTGTCTCAAGGTAAAACCATCTACTAGACTTTTATTGTGAAGCTAAAGTCATTTACTGTTACGACATTCATTTACAATTTTTGATGTAACAGAAGAAGCCATTTGGAAGTTTCCAAATGTCAAATATATTTCTGTGTAAATAAACAGTTAGTTTAATTTCTTGGTGCTACATACACATTTCAGTTGGTACCACAAAACTATTGAGGTTTGATGCCCAACCCTCTTTCAGTGCTATTGTTAGTGAATTCTTGTGGAGAAGCCACGCCCCATGCTGGATGCATGTATTTGAGGATACCTGTCCGAGGTGTCAAAAGTAAAGCTCATTAATAAGTCTTCACTGTTCACTGGATTTCCTGTCTGGATACTCCCATCTGTCTCTCTCTCTCACACACACATACACATACACAGTGCCAGTGTTAATTAGTGTTAATGAACCACCATAACATAAAATGTCTTCGACTTCAAAATAAAAGTTCAGAGGAAAGTTTTCTTTTAGATCACTGAGACAACTTTAATAACTCTTTGACCTACCTGGCTGTCCACCTGTCCTTACATTGTTCTGTCTCCACCTGTCTGTCAGGGTGGTGTGTGTCGGTGGGGATGGTTCAGTGGCGGAGCTGTGTCATGCTATGGTCCTCAGAGCTCAGCTGGATGCAGATTCTCCAAAGAAACCAGTGAAATCAGTGCTGCCCCTGGGAATCATTCCTGCTGGTGCGAAAGAGGACACACCCTGATAATGATCTATAGGATGTGGATCCACACACAGTGCAACAATAATGCACAGAAACACAAACATTCACATTATGTAGAAACTGTCTGTCTATCTTCACAGGTTCTACAGATGTGGTTTCCTGTTCTGTTCATGGAGTCAGAGATCCAGTCACTGCAGCCCTGCACATTGTCCTTGGTAAGTTCTACCTGTTCTACATCTGTAGGTACAACATCCTTGTCTATACTAAAGTCTCATTGGCTGTGGCGGGTTCTACCTGGTCTAAATCATTTGCATTGGTCTAGACCTGCAGTCACATTGCCCTGGGTGGGTTCCACCTCTCCTAGATCTATACTTGTGTTGTCCTTGGTGGGCTCTACCTTTGTTAGATCTATAGTTATACTATCCTTTGTGAGTTCTACCAGATGTCATCCTGGGTGGATTCTGTTCACTCTAGGTCTATAGTCACCTCCCCATTGTTGTTCTAATTTAATTTACTTCAAGCAGCTCAGTGAGCCAATCTGGAGCTTGTGTTCCTGTGAAGCTTTGATGCGATTGGCTGATGGTCTCTAAGACTGGCAGCAGGGACAGAGTTTGAGAACAAACAAACCCGTAGACAGAGTGAAGCAGACGGTGTTACTGGACTCATGAGGGAGGAAGCAGACAGATGTCTAACAGCAGGATCAGTTTCACTCTAAATCACAGGTTTACTCTGCTCGCTGCAGCCACGCCCCCTTCACCTCTCCCTGCTTCCTCCCAGGTAAACTGCTGACCAATCAGCCGGCAGCAGGGAAGGCTGCTGTGTTTGAATGATAGGTTGTGGTGAGATGGTGGTTCATTAACACTAATTAACATGGGAACTGTGTGTGTGTGTGTGTGTGTGTGTGTGTGTGTGTGTGTTTTTATGTGTGTGTGTGTGTGTGAGACAGATGGGAGTATTCAGTGGCATTAATAAGACTAATTCCTGAACAATAGAAAACAGTTAAAGTTCCCAAGCAGGAAGCTGTTCCCACGGACACCAGGTGACTACAGATGCGCTCAGAGCTGTTCACGTACTCGCAGATGAGGTGGTGGGATTATATCGTTTTGTCGGTGATCTAAATTGAGTTTCCAGAATGTGTTAACATTGAAATTATGAAATTAATAAATAATTGTAATAATTGCAGTCAGTTTAACTCATGGTTAAGTTAGTTTTACCAGTCAGCTATCTGCTAATGGAGCCTGAAGCATTAATAATGTTGCTATGGTTACCTTCTGTTTAACAAAACTTGAGCACTGATTCAAAATGGCGGACTGTTAACCTGAACTATGTTTAAGGCAGGCGTCTCAAACTCAAGTTGGCTTGGGGCCACTACTGGTATTATCATCTCACAGGATTATTTCCGTTACTAACATCATACTGAATACAAAAAAAATATATGCAAACAACCGATTTTATACATTTTGATATCATCATTTTATTATTGTTTTAGATATTTTATGTGTTTGTTGTTCGCAGCCAGTCAACAAATGAAGGCCTGAACCTCTCTTATATATTAACTGTTTGTAGGTACCTTTGACCCTTGCTATTATTTTGGGCGAAACAAAATATTTTTTTTAAATTCAATGAAATTTTATATGAAACAAATAATAATCTTGCAATCTCTTTTTAGATTCAGTATATTTATTTATTCAGTATATTGGCCTTTTGGGAAATATGCTTATTTGCCTTCTTGAGCGTGACATACAAACACATGTCATATCCCTGAGATATAACAATGCAAAGGTAGAGATGGAGGACCGTGAAGCATCAGGCAATCTCCTCCAGTGACACACTCCTCTATAGGGCGGCTGATGAGACAATGCTCCAACCCATTGCCTCATAACCCATGCAAATCGCACCACACAACCAATGAGCCAGATGCAGAGTTGTAAGAGGAGCGCCCTCAGATTCAGCGCACAAAGGTTTCCAGAAAACCAGTTGTGCAATCAACAGACGAGGACCTGGGTCAGGGGCACCAAATCGTAAACACCATTGTGGCTGGGAGACCTAAGCTGCTCGGCTCCCCTCTCTCAGCCACGAAGCCATGAAGCTGGAAGGGGCGAGATGACCAGTAAACCCCCTGCTTGAATAGGAAATTACCTGCTGTTCATATGGTCAAAATAAATATTGGTTGCACCTTTTTAAAAAGCACTGTAGGTTTGATCTCACTGACACACTGACTGTGAGACCCGTCTCAGGATTAAAAGTCAGTCAGTCACACACACACACACACACACACACACACACACACACACACACACTGACTACATGCCATATGGTGAGGAAATCAGATTCTATCCAGAGAGACAGACAGACAGGCAGTCAGTCAGACAGGCAGGTGGGGAGACAGCAGTTCAGTAGGTTACAGCAGGTATGTGGCCAGATGGCATGCTGTGTGTGTGTGTGTGTGTGTGTGTGTGTGTGTGTGTGTGTGTGTGTGTGTGTGTGTGTGTGTGTGTGTGTGGAGCATCTTATTGAATGGTCCTGATGGTGAAATCAGGTTGATGAGGTTGATTTATGTTTTTATTCCAGTTCCTTCTTTGGTTTGTGCTGCATTCACTGTCTTGTGTGTAGCTACTGTTTTCACTGTGAGTGCAGATATCAGATATTTTGCACATTTGGTTAAAGAACATCCTGCTGATTCTTGCATATTACTTTGAAAATCTAAGAGATGGTGCATATGCTCGCGATGTGCTTTCAAAACCACCAGAAAGTAGCCTCATGATGCCTTCACTTGCCACCGTTGGTCACATGACCCTCTCGTTGCATGTGTTTAGAGGTCCATTAAGAGTCTACCAGTGAAATATAAAACATTAATGTTTATAATATCAAACAGAACAACATGACAACAGCTTTAATGTTGTTTCTGTTGGCTTAAATGTTCCTACATAACAGAAGAAACAGATCATAGAATAGTTAATGTCTGTAAATGTCTTCTGAACTCTGCTGCTTCAGAGACTGGTCACACTGGACAGTTACAGCCAGGGACTGGTAAATCTGGACTGATATACCACTAGAGATTGGCCAAACTGGAGCAATAACAACCAGAGACCGGTTACTGTACTGCAGTGTGATTTCACTGAGGTTTATAGATGCTAACACACACACACACACACACACACAGTCCTGACCTCTTTCTGTCGCACATATTTGGAGTGCTGCGCCTCATGCATATTAATGAGCTTCTCACCATACGACCACTTGGCCTTCTTACAGGCTGTGTGTGTGTGTGTGTGTGTGAGTGTGTGTAGGGTCCTAAGTTTTTCTCATAAATATTCATAGTTAAGAATAATCTTTCATCCCCCTCTATCGTCCCCTCCATCCCTCTCTCTCTGTCTGCAGGTCACCTGCAGCAGGTGGACATGTGCAGCTACTCGTCTCACGGTCAGCTGATTCGTTTCGGGTTCTCTGCCATGTTTGGCTTTGGTGGCCAGAGCTTAGCCCGGGCGGAGAAGAAGAGGTGGATGCCATCATCACGGCGACGAGAGTACGCCTTGATGAAGACACTGGCCAGGCTGAGGTAACAGATATACAGTACACACACATAAAACACATGAACACAGTTTTGAACTTATAAATAGTTGAGATGAACTGAAAAAAGTGATTCTGGGCTATTTCTTTTTCTCCTCTGTCTCCCGCAGACCTGAAGACTGTCAGCTGTCTTTTCTACCAGCGAAGAAGTCAAACAGTAATTTGTTTCAACATCAGTGAGAAACGCCCACACACACACACTCACACACAGACACACACAGACTGTTATGTGTAGACAGTAAATTTCAGACCAACATTTGCGCTTTGTGATGCAGCGCAGTCCTCGGTTGTTTCAGGGCTCTATATCTGTGGCTGCTGGTGATTCTTCTTCTCTTAGCTGGGTGGGCCAACAGGCACTGTGTTTGTGGTGCACTAAGCTTTGAGTCCAACCAAAGATTGTTACGTTTGCTCATCAGTTGAATCAGAAAAGCAAAACACACTCCAACAGCACAACATGGCTACTTAATCTGTCTCTTTTCTCACCACGCAGTTTATTCTGAATGGTCATCCCTTCCTGTTTTTGTTCTTCTACACCTTTTTTTACACCCGCTTGTATTAGATTTAGGTGCGATCCGGAGGAAGCTACTGTTAATTTAGTGTGTGTTGGCTGGAATGGCACCCATTAGGGAAGAGAATACAAAATAGCTGTTAATGTCATACTGTATAAATTCTTTTGAAGTAATATTAAAACATTTTAGAATTACTAATTAATTAGCTTTTTTCAAATGTTTTTTATAAATGTATTAACCCTGTTGACTCTAAATTAAGCTTTGTAGCTGTGTCTCTGCAAGTGCACCCTCTATTGACTTGATAATTTTTAAACTTATTTGTTGTGTACCACTGATGTATCTACCTGCCTCGAATCTGTATCGTAACTTTGTAAACACCACTGTGCTTTAATAACTGATTTCATAAGTTGTCTGACAACTGATTTTATTACTGATTTAATCATTTGCAACATAACTGAAGTTTTCTGTCGACAGTCTGTCATGTTTAAAACAAAATTTGATCTCCTCTCTCTCAGAGACCAGGACCAAGACCCAGAGTCAGGTAAGACTGGTCTGTCTTTAGACGGACACTTGTGGACTGCAGATCAAAGTTGTTACAGATTTCCATCTCAACCAGTTTGGTTTACTCTTATTCTCTCTGTGATTGGTCGGTGCAGAAGGGGAGGAGTCCTGGACAACCAATCAGGGCCTGTATCTGAGCATCAGCATCATGTCCATTCCCTGTCTCAGTCCACACGCACCTAACGGACTGGCTCCCAACACCAGGTACATTCATGTATGACGAGCAGTTAATCCTTCTGAGAAGTCAGCTGTTGTGACCTTGAATGCACCACACTGCAGGTGATTCCATTATGTTTCTGCTACTGACCGTACTCTTCCACTTCCTGTTTGTACCAGTTTGGCAAATGGCAGCGCAGCATTGATTGCTGTTGGAAACACTTCCAGGTCAGAGTTCATCAAACACCTGAAGAGATACAGCAGCTCTAGTGGACAGGTGAGAGCAGCTGTCAATCAACATCCTATCAGGGATCTCCTATCCTTTAATCAACATTAAAGGTCCAGTGTGTAACATTGAGGAGGGTCTATTGGCAGAAATGAAATATAATATTCATAGGTATGTTTTCATTAGTGTATAAAAGTGTTTTTATTATCTTAGAAGAATTCTATCTATAGTGGGAGCAGGTCTTCCTCTACTGAGTCTGTCTTGCTTAACCGCCATGTTTCTACAGTAGCCCACAATGGACAAATAAAACACTGGCTGTAGATGGGGCCTTCCAAGATTTTTGCGGTAGTTTCTTCTGCATGCTTAGAAAGCAATCGGTATTCAGATGGTTGCAATCTGCAAATTCACCGCCAGAGAACAATGTGACTGAAAGGGTCACTCATAGTGATGAACCTTCAGCTTTATGGAGCTATATAGGAAGTTTCAGCTCATTGTTTTTCAGTCTGGCCCAGCACAGCTGGTGTGCTGTTTTGGTTCACCGCTTTCATGTTGTTTTCAGCAGCAAAAAAAGCTCCAAAAACACACAATGCACTACTTGCACCAAACAGCAGACAGACACAGAGAGCAACTAGCTGGTGGACACAGTGGAACATTTAGTTTCTTAAAAGCTGATGATATGTCCGTGTTGTGTTCACTGCTTGTTTCCACTGCCACCAAGTGGCCAGAAAAGTCTGTTATTGCAGGTTTATGTAATGAAAACACTCACAACAACAATCTCTGGCTGAATACATTCAGGTATATCAGCTGCAGAGCGCACATTAACCAGAGAAGAGACAAATGTTTAATTTCAGCCATCACTGAGTTAATTAGCTACTGCCATATCCAAAATGGAGGCACTATCTGAACCCATCCCTAACGTGGGTTGTTGGTGATATGTTTCAGTCTTGACCTCGCCATCCTAAGGCTCAATCTCTCACAGAGCAAAAAAAAACAAAGTTAAGTATAGTTAATGGGTAGATTAGCCTGGTTTAGCATGGCCTGGCTTGGCCTGAAAGACTGCACACTAACCCACTTACTAAATATACTGACAGTGTGGCATTCACTGACCTGCAGAGTAAAGAGGTTGTTTACTTGCTGACCTACATCCTGTTAGTCTGCTGATGGAGGGATGGACAGCTCAGTGCCAGACGCATCAAAGCGGGGCATCCAACATGTAACCATGACAACCCCTGTTCGCCTCCCATCATGGGCGTTAAACCTCACCTGTCCTGTCAGGTGAAGTGTGTGTAAAACAACTGAAAGTAAAGCAGAATTCTGCTCTATGATTTAAAAACCAGAGTCAGGAAAGTCCACTCTGCTTCTCTGTGCTTTAACATGTCAGACACATTGTTAACGTGGAGCTAATTTACTAAACTATTTTATTTAGAGCTGCAACCAATGATTGTTTTCATTATGGATTAATGTGCTTGTTATTTTCTTGATGAATCTATTTATTTGGAGAAAAACAGCAAGAAATGCCCATCACAATTACCCAGAGCTGACACCTTGTTTTGTCCGACAAACACTCCAAACCTCAAAATGATTCAGTTCACTGTCATTTAACAAAAGGAAAAGCAGCTGAGACCATCAAGTGTTACCTAAACAATGAATCATTTATCCAAATCGTTTTTTAAATAAATAAATACCTACAAAAGAATAAAGTGCCATGAAATAGAAGCTAAAGTGAAATACATATACCTCAAATTTGCATCAAGTCTGTACTTAAAGTCTGTACTTTAGTAAATGTACTTAGTTACACTCCACTGTTGGACTGTTGTTGTAAAACAGACTAGAACAAATGTGATCCTATCCTGGAATATCAGCTTTATGAAAACAGAACAAACCTGAGGAGGAAGGAAAGCAGACAGATGGGACAGTGAGACAGTCTGTTTGTCTGTCTGTCTGTTGGTCTCTGCTGCCCCCTGTTGGAGCTGTGTGGTGTTACATTAGAGACAGCAGAGGACAGTTAACAGGAAGAAACTGAGTCACCCCCTCCAGATTATCAAGCTGCTTATGGAGGATCTTTCTGTCCTCCTCAGCTGACCTTTGACCTGTGAGGCCCTGATTGGTTTGTCAGTCTGACTGTCTGATTGTCTGTCTTGCAGTTCAGCTTCTCTTTTGTGGAGACGCACGCCGTATCAGCCGTGAGGATTCGCCCCCAGTCGCTGATTGGCTGGTCCGAGGAGGAGAGCGAGGAAGAGGGTGACTCCAAAACCTCTCCCATCATCCAATCAGAGGGAGCCGCTTTCCCCTGGAACATCGACGGAGAGCTGGTGGAGATCGCTAACGAAGTGCTCGTCAGGTGTGGCGCTCAGTGTTATTACTACTGAAACACATATATCCTTATAATTACAGTAATCAGAGATATTGTTATCAACAGTGTGTTATTACACTGAGTGAAACAGCTGATTATTGATTATTCATTTGGTCTATATGTATAATCAGTAAGCTGTGTAATAATTTAACCAACAGTTATACGTACATTACATAAGCACTGTATATCACATTAAGGTGCATTCACTTTCACTTTTCCTAAAAACAATCACTTCACCTAAATAACAAAAGAAAATATTTCCTCACTTCCCTCCAGCCATCTGTCCATGTGTATAGATAGTTTAAGGTTTTCTGTGGTCGGTCAGGACCACAGAACAGCCAGTGAAAATGTCTTCTGTGGCGCCGGAGGAGCTTCATCAATTCTGCATAGAATAACCCTGATGATGTAATAATGATGTCATCAGGGTTATCTATCTCAGCTAGGTCTTGAGGCTTTAAACGTTTTGACAGAAAACGTGCGTTAGAAAGATGAGGACATTTCAGGCCCTTTTTAGGAATACGTAGCAATCTTGTCTCAGATATTTGGCACCTGCTGAAAGAGAGAAAAGTTAATTACAATATGTCCTGACAGCAAGGAAGAAGAGTCTTTTCTTTTTTTTCTCTCACAGGCTGCAGTTTATTTATGGAATCATTAGGCAAAGGTCCCTTTACAGCTGGGTCACAAGTTTTCAGACACATTTTTGGAGTATAATTAGTGTGAACCTGTCTCTGGAAATCACTGTGTGGCCTACGGCTCTGTTAAGGAAGGTGACAAGTGTTGCCTTGATGGGGATCAACGCTGTCCAGTCCCACATAGTAAGTGCTAGCTACTGAGTGACACTCAGACACACTTCTCACAGTGAATCCATTAATAATGCTGTTTGTGGATCTTTCTCTGCACTTTACTGAATCTGCGCTCTCTCTGTTTGGATGTTTCTGCCCAGAATAGGTGGATGTATATTTGTCTAATAGTCTAATAGAACTGTACTGAGAGGCAATCTGTACAGATGTTCACACCAATTTCCCTTGGGATAAATAACGGGGTACCACAAGGCTCTGTGCTGGTTCCTTTCCTATTTACACTCTCAATATTAGTATCACTCCAACACAGAAAAATCGGTAAAATATTTTTAAAATAAGGAATAAGTAAATTAAAACAATCTGCATGGAGAGATGCCACCAGAGGGAAGTGAGAATTTATTTGTTTTGTGGTTTGGGCTTTTGGACATTTGTGCTCATATTATTTTACATATTATGTTCTTCGTAACATTATATTGAACATCAGACAGACAAAACTAGGCCAAACACTTCACCTGTAAACATGGCACCTACTCTGGGCCCTAAACATACATTTGACTGTGTGTGTGTGTGTGTGTGTGTGTGTGTGTGTGTGTGTGTGTGTGCGTGGTGCATTCAGGGTCCACCCGCAGCTCATCACTCTGTACGGGGAGGAGGTGGACGAGGCTGAGTCGACCGTCTCCTGCAACTGCCTCTGAGTCCAGCGGAGGGCGCTGCTGCGTCTGTGTGTTGGGACCAAGACACGTTGCCATAGTAACCACAATGACTCAACAGTGCCCTCTCTAGGTCATGAAATAATGTAGATGTTTCATATTAAGTAGCAAAAACACGTAAAAGTAGCGGCCGAGCTTTGCAGCTTCCTGTTTATGATGTACGTTAAAGCTACATGAATTGATAAATGTTTTGGCCGTGTGATTGATTACTGCAGCTTTAATAACCTATAAGGTAGCTTGTAAGCTTCCTTTAACTCCAAACTACCTGTGCTTTATGATATAAATGTATAACGATAAAGATGAATGTTTTATATTCAGATGAATGTTTACATTTTACTATATTTTAATCGCCAGCTCTTCTCAGATGACATGATTTGTGTTGCCTATTTTTATTACAATTTTAATTTAGTTTGATCTTGTCCAGTCTGTGGCTGAGAGCAAAGATTCATCTGTATTTAGTTTGCGATTTCAAAGTAAATACGTGAGATTTAAAAAAGTAAATTGAATCCAACACTGTGAGGAAAAGGAGAACAAACGTAGTCAAGTTTCTTTTTTACTGATGATTGTTTGGAGAAGAGCAGCTTTCAACACAAGCAGAACCAAACTGGATGAGCCCAATGTGTCCAAAGACTGTAAAAGTTTTATATTTGAATATAACAGAGCTTTACTTAATGGCTGTTTTTATTTAGAAGCTCTTTCAGCTTTTTTATTAAGCCAATGCAGATTTTTAGAGTGACGCTGTGATCTCGATGAGAAAAAAACAAGTGAAAGTTGTTAAAATAGAAAATACGTCATTTTAATGGAAACGTGTTGATAAAAGCAGTGAGACACTCCAGTGCAGAACAACTTCACATGAACAAAAACAATAACAAACTAATTTAATAAAATATTAAAAACATGTCTCTGTGTGATGTGCATTTGTACTAAATACATAAACAGAAGGGAGGGTGGTAGCTGTTTTAAATGTTTGCATTCACAAAATACAGACCGGTAAAACAGTGCTTTTGAATATTTTAAATTATATAAAACATATTTTTAAATGCTAATTTTCAAGTAGTCTTCTATCACTCAACCCTGTGTTGTTGCTGGCTCTGTTACCCAACAAGATGCATATTTTACTGCGCTTTCACACTGATAGTTTAGTCCAAATCTAGGAGCCGTTCAATATGGTGACACTGAAGATTTGACCGAGAAACTATGCCTTAACCAGGTGGTCTGAGATCAGTTCTAGTGAACAGTGCATTCAGTTTTCTGATTCTTATTTAATTTGTCATGTACAGCATCTTTGAGTAAAAAGCGCTCTATAAATTAAATGGATTGTTATTGTAGAACATTCTTGTGGACATGAAGAAGTAGATAAAAAAACATCTCACTATCTAAACAGCAAAATAAGCATGTCACATGATATTTGTTTCTAGGAGGATAGTTAAAGACAAGCGCTGATTTTGAAAATGGTTTCTCGTTTTCCGCTACACTCTTTTTAACTGTTTCCTCACAGTGGTTAACAGCTGCACAGCGGACTTCACAGGCAGACAACGGATAGAAAAGCAGTGAACAAATGTGAAATCAGACGAGTTAAGGCCCAGTATTTGTTTCCAGAAGCTTGGTGACATAGTGGGTGTTTTCCATTCTGGTAATTATGTTTCCTCCAGCCCGTTTCCTGGAAATGGATCGAGCTCTGCCATTACCGAGGATGTTCCAATCCCTTAAATGCATCTCGGAGGAGACGAGGGGCGAGAGAGCAACCACAGGTGTGTCCTATGTGGACATATTTTAAAGGACAGCAATGCGCCTTTAACATGAATCAGTTTATTGATTGGTCTGGGCTGTTGTGTAAACAGCATTATAATAATATTCATATAATTGCATGATTTGTACTGTAGATTTGTGGTCTTTTACAAACTATAGATTTAGAGCTATAGATTTAATTCAGGACATTTATAGCTGTTTTTATTGCTTCCTCACATCCACTCTGCTCTTTCAGTAATGAACAAAGTTTTCACCATTTGTGTGTTGTTTGTGTGCCGTAGGGGCTGCCACAGCAGATTATCTGTTTCAATCTCGCAGGCCCACTGGCCCCGCCCCACCCAACCCGGCATGGAGATCTGCTGATCACATGTTTGATTTGGCTCAGGGTTTTTACACGGTGAGGGAAGGGAGGAGTGACGTTATCAAAATGGAAACCACCCAGTGACTACTCACAGAGCTAGCTGGTGGATATTTGTAGCTGGTGAGAAAACCACTAACAAACTAGCCAACTGGAAACATGCTAACACTTATACTCTGACAGAGGAGGTGAAATAAAAGTGGATGGTGCAACACAGCTAATAAACTACAATAGTTTCCTTCATTTTCGACTCCAGCTCTCCGTTCCCCGAAGGTCGGCAATGTTAAGACTGCTTGCTACTGGACATGCTTTGAATGTCTAACCTCACCAAGTTCGACACCCCCGTAAGTAAATCCACTGATTGTGCGTGTCCATTAAAATTCTGCCGTGAAACTCAACGGTACATGCTGATGTGAGTGGGCCTTTAGAGGGACAAAACTCAAAGAAACAGAGTGAAAACAGGCTAAAGGACATTCGGCATCCATTCAAACACCCATGCTGATTGCTGTCAGCATCAGTCTGCATCAGCCCACAGAAGAAAGCAATTTTATTACTTCACTCACTGTACCGGCACATCCCAGCAGCCATTGCTTGACTGTTCGGTCTGGACAGCATCCGGTGTGTGTTACAGGCATCAAATGGTGCAACACAGGCAGCAAGTCACCTTTGTGTGTGTGTGTGTGTGTGTGTGTGTGTGTCACCAGTGCATAAAGTGTTGGTCAGCAGGTAAACAAAAAGATAGAAAGATAATGTACACAGACAGCGAGTTAGGAACCAATGAAAGACCAGGTTTCCATCCCCTGAGATCGAAGGTCATCAGAAAGTTACTTTCTTTGGTTTGTTTTCTCTTGAATGAAGGTCATCAACAGGTGGCGCCACATCCCAGGAAGCCCAGACGCCTTCAAATTGGTCCAGATTTGATTGTTTCGGGTCCACTTCCCTTTTTATTAATCCTCCATCCATCTATCGCTGCAGTCTTTTTCAAGTCTTTGAACTTGTCTGTATTTGTGAAGGCACATCAGGCAAAATAGTTTAAAAGGCACAGATTCAGGTGTGTTCAGTTCAAGAGGCGTTCCCTTTTTAGCATCTGTCACACTCAAAGACAAGTCTGTGCTGAAACCGGCTGGGCTGACTTGTTACGAGTGTTGCTTCAAATCATCTGACACAGTCTGGACTGATGTCATTGGCCGATGACGTTCAACAGCAGTAGCAATGCTTTCTACTGTTTTGGACAAATTGGGTTGCCATATTGTCAAACACAGCAATCCATCCATCAGCACATATGTCTCATTAAAACTGTTGCACAGTCACAATGTGAACGCCATCCTATGGTCAGAGGTCTGAGGTCGTGGCCAGAGGTGGGGTTAGGAAGTGCTCTCTCTTTTATCGTGTTTAGGAACATAGTCCCAGCTGTCTCTCCTGAATTCCTCTTCCTTATTCTTCTGGAAGTTCCTCTTAAAGAAACCAGCCTGAGAGACAAACAGAGAGACAGAGACAGTAGATTATATTGTGATGTACTGCGCTTTAGCATTATATCATGATACACTGACCATTATGTTGAAATATACCTGTGGTTTATCTGTACACCACAGGTATTAAATTGAGATATACTGCAGTTGTGAGCACAGTACAGAAGAAGTGAGACAGGTTTAATGGCAGTGTGACACATGATATTGTTGACAAGCAAATCTAATTTGCTCAGATTTAAAGCACCTTTACATGAAAGTCCACCTGATATTGATCAATATTGTCGGTTGATTTTATTTGTTAACTAACAAGAAATGGCCGAACAGAAATTCCACAGATTTAAGGTGCAGCAATTTAGAAAAAGTGTCTCCATTGTGGGTCCAACAGAAAGCACTTACAAGTTTACTTTTCAACCATTAAATATCATTAAATAAAATATATTTATTTAGTATAGGTGCTTCTGTTAAAAACTAATATTTACCTTCCACAGACACCAGATGAGAGCTGCCAGGATCATCAGACCCAGAACTAAACTGACAACGATGATGAAGACCTTCACTATTGCTGAGGGTTTCTGGGTAAAAAGAGCTTCCACCACCACCTGGAAATGTACATACAACATATGATTATTAGTAACATCTAGAATACAATTACAGTCCCATAAGGCTTTGCTGGTACACTTGTTTGAGCTGTAGCTGTTGCTCAATTACTATTGTCTAAACTATATATATAATTCCAGATGCGGTCTAGTGTGACGCGCTCTACAGTGCTGTTAGCTCTTGGTTTTGACTGGTGTCCAGGTGTTTTACCTGTGCTTCAGGTTTGTGGATGAGGATGGTGTGAGGACCTTCTCTGGGATTTGACATCATTGCCGTGCTCTCCATCCTCATGACACCAAGACGACCCTGAGAAAGAGACGCAGACAGACATCAGTTTTCATGTTTCTTTAAAAGTGAGAGAGGACAAGCGCATACATACACAACCACTGTAGTTACATGTAAAAGTGGAAGAAAAAAGACTGTGTGTGTGTGTGTGTGTGTGTGTGCGTGTGTGTGTGTGTGTGTGTGTTACCGGAGATTGCAGTAGAACAGCAGGGTTCAGTTTGATCTCCAGTTGAATAATGACCTCTTTCCCCACCTCCAGGTTACCGAATTGGCACACCAACCGCTCACACAGGTCATCACCACGGCCACAAAACTGTACACACACACAGAAAAAGATTGAAGTTCATCCACAGTAGGTCAGTGTGTGGTCAGCGTGTTCACTCCAGCTCAAGCATCTCAATTGTTTGGTCACAAATCATTAGCCAGGCATGTGATACACGAAAAAAAGAGAAGAAGATTTTAAAAATAACTCTGGTACATAAAGAAGCATTATTATAAGGAACATTTAATAATGCAGTGATTACAATGATTCTTAAGAAAGACAAGGATCCCACTGACCCAGGAAGTTTTAGACCTGTTAGCCTGATTGATGTGCACTGTAAAATACTGACAAAGGTGCCTGCTCTCAGAGTGAAGAGGGAATTGCCACGTGTAATTCATACAGATCAGGTCGGCTTTATCAAAGGTAGATCATCTTCAGATAATGTGCAATGCTATTCCTCCATATGGTGTAACTCTTCAGTTTGTATAGGGAGGCACCTTTTCATATGGGACAACTGCCTTGAGAATGAAGTGGATCTTTATATCAAAGAGAGATCTAACCAGGTTTGGAAAAAATGTCCTGTTGTATATTAAGAGTGTAGATGCATGACAATGGCTGTCGTACAACAATAGAACTATGATTAACTGTAACGGGGGTGGCTGTGGCTCAGAGGCAGAGCGGGTCGTTCCTTAATCGGAAGGTTGTGGATTCGATCCCCGGCTCCTGGTGCCACATGTCGAAGCAAGATACTGAACCCCAAATTGCTGGTGTGTGAGTGTGTATGAATATTAGTTTCTGTTCGATGGACTTTGCCATCACTGAGTGAATTTGTGTGAAAGGGTGAATGTGGCACGTAGCGTAAAAGCGCTTTGAGTGGTCGGAAGACTAGAAAGGCGTTTTACCATTTAATTAGCAGATTATAAGGGTGTTTTTTATGAGTGGCTGTTTTATTTGTTTTTGTTTGTTTTGTTTTTTATTTCATTTTTGTTTTATGTTCATTTGTTTTTCTGTTTTTCACACTTAGTTGCGTAACTTATGTGAACCAAGTTTACAGTTCACAGTGTGTTCACACTTCTAGCCAAAAGTGCCGATTGCTACAGCGTGCAGCTGCGCGTACCACAACTTCCTATCCAGCATATAGCATCACATGAGCAGCTTTTATTTAACAGGTGCCTTCTGCATCTCTTGCTGTATAAAACATCCTGTGTTATGTTCCAGTGAATACAGTTCCCAGCTGTGACTGACACAACTTTGAAAATAATATCTTTGGTTCCTTTTTTTGCATATTTTGTTAAAAGTAGAGATGAAGAATTATTTTTTATTGATCACCAGCAAGCTAGTTGATACACTAAAACTTCACTACTAAAGCATGAAACTCCTTGATATAGACTGAACATTATTAGTGTTTCTATTTCATGTGAAATTGCTGAATTGATGGTAAACTGCTAAATAGCGAACTAAAATTCTCAGTTTTACTACCTGATACTGAATTGAGCATTGAGGATTTTGATTTGAATTGTTGCCTACAGTCTTGAATCTAATTTTAGAAGATAAATTTAGTGATAAAACAAATTTGAGTTGTTGCTAAATTGTGTGTGTGTGTGTGTGTGTGTGTGTGTGTGTGTGTGTGTGTGTGTGTGTGTACCATTCTGCGGGTGGAGGTGGAAGAGAAGAAGAAGATGAGCTGTTTGATGAAGGAAGCTTGGGGAACATCACAGTCCTCAATGACTGAAACACTTGTATCACTGATCGAACACACCCCGTGAGATGACTGCAGAGAGAGAGAATTCATATATTAATATTATATACACACTATTCTACCACTGATGTTTGTAATTTACTCTGACAATGATGACTACTACTAGTATGACTACTGCTGCTATAATTACCCAGCCAGCAACCCAGTGTGAGTGTGAGTGTGAGTGTGAGAGTTTAAGTGTCTCAAAGAAACCGTCAAAACCCAAAACCTGGGCTGGGTTCAATGATGACCAAAATGTTTATAACACTGTCTAAAACTCCTGAATTCTGAAAGTTGACATTACCTTTCTGTACAGATTCTTCTTGTCTAATGGAGTTTGACAGTTCCTGATTTATTGATTTATTTTTCCCAATTTTAAACTATTGTATTGAGAAAAAAATCCTGTCCAGCTGTCTTTGGCTTTAGTTCATTGAAAAAAATGTTTTTAAGCAGGTACTGAACTTGTTCTTTAAAGTTAGTTTGGGGTTTAGTAACTTTTAATGGTACAGTTCCTCTACTCCAAACAAGAATCTGACTGTTTTTAAGTGCCTGATGAGACCCCCAGCTTCTCTATAATACAAAGTCAAAACATTTTGTTCTACAACAGCTTCAGGTCTCAGTAGATTATTTAACTGCTTCAGGTGTTTCAGCCTGTCACACTGTTTTTGCTGATTGCTTGTGCTAGCTCAGCTCTACCTCTGGCTCCAGTAGGCTAACTGACAACGACAGCAGCAAGCAATTGAAATATATCTTCAGAACCTTGTGAGGAACCACACACTACAAATAGTTTTATACTGACTGTGTTACTTCTACTTCTGTTAGTAATGCTTTAACTGCTGTTGCTAGCACTGGACGTACCTGCCAGTCGACCACCTGCAGCAGTCTGTGTCGGTAAGGTGTGAGGATCTTCGGTAGTGCAATGTCAACCACAGTATCTAATGACCTGCTGGGACCAGAGTTTAACACCTGCAGACAGACAAACGTTAACAAGATTAGAATAGACTTTTTCTACTTTTCCCTCCTGGATTCACCACTTTGTAGCCTCTATGCACAGGGCCAACCATGGAGCCTAAGTCTTTGATAGATGCTGGGTTTCTGTTCAGGCTGCCACCAGAAGCAAAGACGAAGAGTTTAGGATGACTGCATTAGCAATTTTAGTTGGCCTCAGAGGTTTTGGCAAAACATCAGACAGCTCTGAAAGTGGAAGCAGAGCTTTGTCAGGCCATTTTAAGCAGCGAAGGAGAACTGCTGAGCTTTCACTCGGTGTACGGTGTCGCCATGGGAGGATGTGTTTAGACAGAATGTGAGGCCAGTTTTTGCGTTTCTCACAAGCATTGTGCTCCCATTAGTTGAAGCTAGCTTGGAACATGCTACCGTTAGTCAGTCACATTAGCTTTTATCCTTTTTTTTTCTCTGTCCTTTACTCGCCCCAGTATCCTTTTAGTTCTTGAAGGTGGAAAAAAACCTTACTAACTAAGCTTGCTAAGCTAGTTAGCAAGCAAAACTGTAGTTTCACATGGTTAATTCAAAAGATGTATTGTGCCACAGACTGCTGTTACAGAACTGCAGACCCTTTGTCTTGTGTGGAGTTTATACTCTGACAGAAAGGACGTAAATGCAAGTAGAGAGTCACACATAGTGAATAAACCGTAATAGATTCCTCCATTCTTGTCTCTCTGGCTCTTAGTTCCCTTTATGGTCAGCACTGTTAACACAGTTTGCTACATATAAATATTTTGACATGCCGCAGGTGTAAAGAATGAAATGAATAATGAAATGAATGAAGGCTGAATTCTATGTAGCTGCTTCAGTTTCAGGGTCGTGGTATTGTGCATGTTGGCTCACTGTCACAGCTTACTGGAGTGCTTGATTAGAACAGAGCCAATGTTAATATTATTAGTAATACTTGTGATTTTTCTACTATGACAAGTCCAAAGTTCAAGTTGAATTTGCCTTGGAGAAGGTTGTGCAGATTTACTTTGTCCCTCATGATTGTATATCCACTGGAATTATTGGATTTCACCACCAACTTTAGTAGTTTTAAATGCTGCTGTGAACCATACTGACATTTACCTTGTATGTGTAGTTGAATCTTTCAGGGTAGCAGTCAACTGGAGTTGAGTCTTCATCTCCAAACACAAATGAGGTGGGAGTCACAAAACTGCAAGACAGACAGACATCAGTGGCTGCTGGAGATTATTTACATGAATAGGGTTACAGGCACTGAGAGCTTCTGCTTACACACTAACAATGTTGTTGTCTTGCTTGGTGCACTAGGCTTGACTCCAACTTTAGAAGACTGTTACATTTACTAATCAATTCAGAAAAGCAAAACACACTCCAATAGCTCAAAGTGGCTACTAGTTTTATGATAAATGTCATGATTTTTTGCTTTTATGTTCAGTACTTTGTGTTGCATCTTATGCACGAGTTGTGCTATGTAAATTAGGTTATTATTCTTAAATTAATCTCTCTTTTCTCATCAAGCAGAAAGATCCAAACAAAAACAAAACAAAACTTGTACTGTACTGTAAAAGTGTATTTAGATTTAAACATTTGAATTCAGCATTGATGCTGAAAGGGGCATTCCTTCACATTTTTCCTTTCAAAATTGTCTTGACTTGTTTGTCATATTCTGCTTCTCTGTTTAATGTTTCTGTGATCGTTAAATCAATGCTAATATGCATCCCTGCATATAGAAGTTGATGACAGCCTACAGTTTGGCCTGGTACGCCGTCTTGCTGTTGCCAGCCCCTGTTTTGTCGTACTGTCGCCACCTGTTGGACTGGACCAGTGGAGCTGGCAACGACTGAGATTGTGTAAGGGAAAGAAATGTAAATGTTTTTTTCATTCACTGGTATTATATTTAGGTGGTATCAGGGGGAAGCTAGTGTTGAATTGGTCTGTGTTGGCTGGGACAGCACCCAACCATTTTTGGATTAATCTCATACTGTTAAAATGCTTAAAACATAAAAACTAATTAATTAGCTAATTTCAAATACTTAAAAATAATGTATTCAGCTTGTTGACTCTGAATTAAGCTGGTTGGTGGGCTGCTGAATATTCGCCTGCTATTGACTGTCGACCACTGACAGACAATACAACAGGACTCAGCAGAATTTTATTTGTAGCTACAACTCAAACATCTTTTGAATCTCTTACATAACATACTTTTACCATAGAGCATATTCAGATTTTGTTATTTTATTTTAGTTGTGTTTCATTATAAAATAAAATTTTAATAAATTATTTATGTTTGTATTTTTTCTTACACTTTCTTATTTGGGTTTTGAAAAGCTCTCTATATAAAGAACATTATTAATATTATCATTATAATAACAGCAGTTTATGCTGACTCACCCGTGGATGTTGACGTTGACTCCATATCTGAGAGAAAGAGGGAGACTGATGGAGTTGTCATGGAGATACTCCTCGCTCTCGTAGTTATCACTGGAGAGAGATATAATAATTAACCTACAAGCATCTCATCTTTTCATCTCAAGTTAGTTTTTTTTGAGAAGTTTAGTTCAATAATAAGTGAGTGAGAATGAGAAAGAGAGACAGACACAGACAGACAGGTGCACAGCAACAACAGTAGCAACAACTACACTAATAGTAGTGACTGATGATGATGAACATGATTGTTTACCAAACAATTCTTTTTTAAGTCCTGATTTCTCCTTAAAATGTCCCTTAAATTAATTTTTCTGGCTTAAATTTTAAGTTACACTGCAACAATAATGTAACACTATGTATGAAAATATTTTTCACAATTGGTGCTTTAGCTTTTGATACTTATGTTTATTGAACTGTGACTGCTTCTATACTTTTACTTTAGTGGAGATGAGAGGAGGGGTGTGTCCTTACCTGCTGGTGTTGACGTGAATAGTGATGTCACCAGGTGTGCTGTTCTGGCTAACGTCCAATAGGAAGCTGATATTCAACTGCAAGAAACAGGAGGACAAATGGCTTTCACTTTTCTTATACGTCAGTTCTGATGACTGACAGCTGCTAGATGATGGATCGGGATTATATTTTTAGTCATTTTTACATTTTCCTTGCTACTCTCCTTTCCTGTAGAGTCTAATCTAGTTTATTCATTTACTTTTTCATCTTTGTTGAATTGTGTTTATATAAAATGTTACCCTTTTACATGTTGAAGGAAATTCCACCTTAAACTGCTGCTCTGTCTTTTTCTGAGAGGAACTGGGATATTTCAACAGTTTCTTTCACAACATTTACAATGTAAAAACACTGAGATGAAGGAAATACAGCAATCATTTGCTGATGAGACAAAATCTGGAGAACAAAAAGTCACAGAGCCACTAGCATGACTCTTGACCCTTAGTCTCGTTATAAAACATTCAGTAACAGCGTTTATTGACTGATTCTTACCTGGGTGTGGGCTGAGAGGAGGAGGCTGGTGACACTGCAGTCAACTGCACTGTTGACTTCCTGTGTGACGTCACAACTGACCAAGTTGTCCTCCTGTACACACAGACACACAGTTTGTTGTGATTACTGTGTTCAATGAGTTAATAGGTTGTTAAAGCTATAATCCTTATAAGTTTCCTGAAGTCAAACCCTGTTATTATATACTATTTAGGATTGGATTTTTTTCATCAAATGTCCTGGAATCTGCCATTCCTGTGCTGGAATCATACTGCCTTCATAAAGACGGTTCACAGGTAATACAGCATGCATTTCCTTAAGCTGCCCCATCAACATGATGGTAACTCACATTCTGCAGCACTTTAACATAGTGGATGTTGTTGGGGGAAACGCAGCGTCAGTCGCGGCAAGAAGGCGTCATCTCCAGAGTTCAGTAGCAAGGTTTTCAACACGATGGTCTGTCCAGAGCCAAGAGCGAAGTACTGCTGCTGACTGATGACAAAAGATAACAAGATAAACAATAATAACAACAACAGTTGAACAACATTGATGTTTCAGTGAGAACCAACATAAAAATACAGCTGCTGACTGACAATAACAAACGCTAGTGCTGGGCAGGAGAAACACTACAGAAACATTTCCCTGAAAATAAAATGCTATAAAAAAAAGTTACATTGCTTGCAGAGTATTTGTAACCATATCACAGCGCAGAACAGGCTAAGTTGCCTAAAAACACACACCTCTGTTAGAGTGACAGGAGAGCTGAGTGGTCCCCTAGGCAAACTCACATCAACATTTCACACAGAAAAGATTCAAGATTTTTGTTTTATTTTTCTATAGTTTGTAGTTTCTCTGTTTGCAGCTCCAACAATTCTTTGTCATTTTGTTGGATTAGGAATCAACTCGTAGAGAATTTGAATGGCTTTAAAGTAGAAACAATTAACTTTCATTTCTGTTGATTCTGGCAGCCACTGTGGATAAAGGTGGCAGTGTCTCCACACATTGTTTCATTCATTTCATTCCAAGGGGAATCTGACCAAATCCAACCATCTAGCAGGCATTAAGAATAACTATATAGAAACATCTGCTTGCCGATGGTCTGGTGTGCTTAAGTAGGTCATATGGAGGTATCAATATTAAATTGAGACTGTTTTCATAACCAGCTGCTGCCAGGAGATGGTTAGCTTAGACTAAAAACAAGGGGAAACTGCTAGCCAGACTCTGTTTATAGTTTTGTAGCTTAGAAAATCCCCTACCAGCACCTTTAACGCTCACTAACTGGAACATGTTATCAACAGAAATGTTGATAAAATCAACAATTTGTAGTTTTGGTAGGTATATCTTAGAACTTCAGTCAGAGCCAGGCCAGTTGCTTCCCCCTACTTCCAGTGTTTATGCCAAACACAAAAAGTGTTGAACTAGCGTATAATTAGCCTCATGTGTTCTCCTCTGTGAGGTGAAAAGCCTCCATGTTGTATATTGTTTGTAGAGAACTGAATGCTGATTTTGTACATAAAGCACAACACAAGAGGAGTCATCACTACTATCACTGTGACTTGAATGTTGTAACTGGACAAATAAAATACGACAGGTGTTAATCCTGCTGAATTAAAAGCTGCTGTTGTTTCAACCTCTGTCTGTATCAGTCTCTTTCTTGTGATTCACTTATAACTCCCTGCTGTGTGAGTGTGTGTGAGTGTGTGTGTGTGTGTGTGTGTGTGTGTGTGTGTGTGGGTGTTCTTACTGTGGCAGCACTAGTTCAGCTGACAGCTGCATGTTGGCCGAACAGTTCATCAGAGAACAGGAACGAGCAAACCACGTCTGACAGAGAGACAGAGGCAGGGAGTTTATTGATGACGTCAATAATAATCACTCATTGTGACTTCCATGACCTCTGACCTCAGCCTTAGAGATCCTGACCACTAACTCCAGCTGTAAATTCCTACATGTTAACTCTTCCTGCTCTGTCAGTGGGACATGGTGTGGACACAGGATGAGCTGACTGATGTTGGTTAATGTGCTGCAGATGATGTGGTGCAGCTGTAAACACATTTCAATGATCACGAAGTCATTGCTGGTGTGTGTGGTTGAGCTGTTCAGATCAGCTGTTTACTTCTCTTTAAAATAGATCAGTTTGGTGATGGGGAAACAGATCGGACACTGAAGTACAAATTACAAAGTGTTTCTGAATATATCTATATAAAAATAAAATCATGATCACATCGAGAACAAACTAAGAAGCATTTGTAAGCTTAGCCTTGAGATTCAGCTTCCAGGTTTGCTATAAAACAGTTTTTGAAAAGGTAATTCTGTCTAGTTATCAAAACAGACCATGATCAGTCAAACTAACTAGTAAATGTCTAGAAAATAATGCCAGTACTTTAACATTTATATTTGCCAATAATAAACTACACCTAGTCTCTGCAGCTCGCCCAAAAATCCTGTGCAGTGCAAAGCAGCAAGATCTTAATTTTTTCGTTATAATGTTATAAGCTCCTTTTGATAAGTGCTAGTGGTAGGCGCATTTACGTATCGCTCCAACCATATTTTTGTCCTTCTGTTTAGAAATGATCTGTAACAGACGCTTTAAGAGAGTTTCTATGAGTAATCAATTTAGTAGTTTAGTTACCTAGTTGTTGTTAGCTCTAATCTGTACCTAGTTGGTGTTAGCATTAGCTGGTACCTGGTAACTAGCACTGGTCGTTACCTGGTTGGTGATAGTGTTCTGGTGTCCTGCGCTCCGCTGCAGAATGGGTTTTAATGGAGGGAAGATTTTTGAAGAGCCTCTTTGGGTGTTTGCTTCTCTGTGACTGTAGGAAACCTCAAACTTGACTGCAGTAAAAATGTCCCTCACATCTTTCTGTAAGAGGAACAAACACTGTTAGCATCAATAATCCAATCAGTTATTAACAAGTTATTTCGCCCATGTTAAACTTATTCACGTGTGTGAGTGCGTTACCCTTTGGTAAGCCACGTGTGTGGTACAAGTGAGCTGGCCATGTCGTGCTTTCACACGCCCCCTTGTGATATTGGATGACCCGTTACCATGGAAATAGAAACGATGAGGGAAGGACGGTTTATGGAGGAGGTCAGAGGTCAGATTATATTGAAGATCTGAAGAGGAAAAGAGAGAAACAGTCTTAAGTATCAGTAGGTAAATAGTGCAATCGTATGTACAATATAATTTACCATTTGCTAAAACTTTTACCCAACCAGCTTTTGTCCAGTAGCTTAGCAACCGTAGGCACAGCAGGCATTTCAAGCCTTGGATTTCTCCACATGTTAAAGTCGTGTACAGCTAACTCTCCTCTGCATTACAACAACACAGTGCTTCTTCTTTTTTTTACACATCTTTCTACATGGTGCTAGTGTGGATACTGAACTTTAGTACAAATCATATAGCCACAAAGTGTATATGTAAGGCCCTTTTACAGGGTTATCGCTCAAAGTCAGTCAGCCAAACCAACCTATGGAGCTATCATTAGCTTAATTAGCTAACTACAGTTGACACAATCTGACAGAAACTGTCTCCAGCTGCCACTTCAATAGATAAATAAAAAGCTTTTGACTACCTCTGTCAGAAATAAAGGAATTTTAAACATCAGCAGGTTGAGTATAAAATCTATCTCATAAATTAGCAGACTACACCTTGAGTGTCATATACTCGACAGTTGGGTTTACAGTACCTATAGCTCCTCTGAAGTGTCTGGACCTGACACTGAAGCAGACGGTTACATTGAAGCAGACAGTTGGGGTCTTGTGTTCTCGGCACAGAGCCATCTTCGAGTCAATCTGCTCAGGCAGGACCAGAGACGCCTTCACCTGAATCACCGGACGGGTCCTACGGCACACAGGATACATTCAGAGAAATTATTAAAGCATGCTGACTGGACTGAAATACAAATTTCATTTCTGTATTGAAAACAGCAGATGGATGATTTTATTATGGACAATCATGAATTTGCTTCTAGGAAATCTTCATCAATCAACATTGTTTTCAGCAAACTTAAGGTTATAGCACTGTGGGATGTCCTGCTTTCCCTGTCATTTGATCTCCTTCATAATCGGCTAAAATAAGGAAGCTGTACACCTCTATGAAAGGAGACAGAAATACAGCTGGAACCTTTCTAGGTTGAGTGTTGAGTTTTACCTGAGAACAACCGCTGAGTCCGAGAGGAACGCACCAACCGCCAAATCTGCAGAGACAAAGAGTTAAACTGATTTAAAGCAGATGTAATGAGAACAGAAATGTACAACATGGCAATATGTCTGTTTGTTAATGGTTGTTGTGACAGTTCAGTTTACCCTGGTAGCCGTTATTATCAATGTCGATGCCAGAGTTCAGCGACTGGCCGAACATCCTGAGGTCGTGACCCAGGCTGGATCCTGTAATCCTCTGCAAACACACATACACCATGTTGGATCTCACAGAACAGTTTATACCCAAATCTATCTCCTCCCCACTGTTTTTTCTGCTGAAGAAGTTTATTCAAATTTCATCACGGGACTCAACAAAGCCAATACTGATTCAATTTAGTATGAGTATTTCTCATGATGGAAATTAAGTTAGAGGATTATAAATTGCTTGAAGAAGCACCATACTGTCCTCACTGCCTGTCATGTACAAACTTCAGTGTAAAAATAACTTTAATAACATCAAACATGGCACTTGGTTTAGTAGAAATTAAACATAGCAGTGGACACAGGCAAGAACCATGTCCCACATGAACAACGATGATGAACGATGATATTGTTATTTTAATACATGGGTCTTCTGTATCAGTGTTGGTACCTGAGATGGAGTTGGTGAGATACCATCCTTCCTGCCATTGTAAATATAGACGGCTCCTTTTAGATCCTCCTCCTGCGGGGCACCAACTGCCACATCTACACACACGCAAACACACACAAATTTATATTACTGTATTTGTGAGGACCCGTGCTGTCTCGATCCACTAATCAGCCAAATCTCTAACCTTTAACCCACAAACAGGTTTCCTTCCTTCCTCGCAGCCATCACTTTATGCTGCTTTTTCTATGAAACTTTCAGAGAGTTGAAACTTGCTGCCGATTTTTAAGCAATTGTCTGATTGTTAATTGAGTCTCTGGGAAGACAGGTCTATACTTTCTGATGGGGGTAAAAGGTGTGTTGGGGAGGGGCCTGGATGTATGACCTCAGTGTTTCTAAAATACAGGCTGGGGTCCTGCTGGAAAGTTCAGCAGGATGAAAGCATTCAAGATTAGTACATAAACATGAGTGCAGCATGGGTCTTTAATATTTAACCTGAACCCTTTGAAGATGTGAGTGGTCTGAAAGTCAAACCAAAAGAGAGAGCTACTGGAACACACACACAGCCTTTTATATAGCTGTTTCAGATTAGAAGGCAGGTTCAATTACAGAGCAGCAACAGTTTGTCATTACTGTTTAAATGAACTTAATAACACCCTCCACCCCTCTCATACACACACACACACACACACACACACACACACACACACACACACACACACACACACATAGATGGTGAGGGGTCTGTACGTGTGAGGGTGTTCAGTTAAAGTTGTTACAGTGGCTGTTATCAGGAAGTAGCAGTTACTGTTGTTGGTGGTGGGTGGGTTGTGCCCCCTTGGCAAGTAACCAAAAAGACACAAACAGTATATGTTTTTGGTTGTTTAGTGAAGTAGCAGTCATCAGAGTACTATAGTAGTATTAGGCTAATTTGTGAGGCAGCAGATCTTCAGTCAGTGGGCAACTAAAGGTACTACTACTGAGGTAATAGCAGTACAAGCTTTGAAAGTAATGTTAGTAGTAGTATCAGAAATAGTACGAGCAATAGTGGAGTTCAATATATTTGCAGTAGTAGTAGTAGTAGTAGTACTTATTGGTGGAATCTGAAGGAGTAGAAGTAGTATTGCAGTACTATAAGCAGGAGTACTTGCAGCAGCTGCAGTAATAGTGGCAGCAGTATGAGTAGGATCAAAAGGATCAGTAGTATTTGTAGTAGCAGTAGTTATTAGTAGTATCAGAAGAAGTAGTAGAAGATCGCAGTAATATTGGCATTAGTAATATAGTAATGGAAGTGGTATTACGGTATTAGCAGCAGCAAAATTAGTTGCACTGTGTATATTTTAAATGGTTCCACCAAAATGAAAGCTGATAGGTCAGGCTATGCAGGTGTGGTCATTACCAGGGTAACCGTCATCGTCCAGGTCTCCCAGGTCAGCGATAGTCTCTCCAAACCGGGCGGCGTACGCGTCACTGCCAGTCAGCCGAAACTCCGCCTCCAACAGCTTCGCCTGAGACAGATTCAGTGTGTGAGGAAACAGACAACACAAACTGTGTCCCTTCCTACTAGGTCTTTTCCACTGAAGACATGTTGACATGTCACAGTAGGAAAAGCACAGGTGTAAATAATCAAATTACAGATGGCTGAATTCCATTTAGCGGCTTCAGTTTCAGAGTTTCAGTGCATTAATATAAACAGTAGCTGGCAATAATTCTCCAGGAGGAGATTCTCAGCTCACAGATGGAAGAAATTAAAACTAATTGTGGAAAAACTAACTGTTATGTTGTGGCAAAACAACAGAGAAAACAAAACGTGTCAAATATATGGAAAAACATTTTGCTGACTATTCAACTGGCAGTAGCATTTTAAAGGTGCAGTTTGACCGACATGTGTCACTGCAAGTCTTATGATGTGTGTGTGTGTGTGTGTGTATGTATGTGCTCACCTGCCCCTGGTTGATGTACACATGGACTCTTCCCTCCTCCCTGGCGACGCCTGTTGCCATGGGCGCGCCGACCAACAGATCTGACAAACCATCAGCGTTCAGATCGACCACACACACACTGGAGCCAAAGTAAGATCCCAGCTACACAAACACACAAAAAGACACACACTCTGAGTGCTAACTATTCCAGTGTTTTGAATGGAGGATGCTATGCTAAGTGGCTTCTTACCTCTTTCCCAGACACTTCAGAGACAACCCGCAGCATGTTGTTGTCTACTGTGAAGATGAAGACCTGCACAACACAAAGACACACACACACGCTAAGATCAATCATCACAACTACAAAACCAAACAAACAATATCAACAAAAACCCTGTAACAACTCAAGTTTTATCACAAATCTGAAAGTATTCACAAAACTTTCAAGAGCAAGTGAGGATGAGATTTAACTGTCTTGGAAATTGCAAAAATGTCTACAACCCAAACACACAAACATTTAGACTTTCAGAGCAGACAGACAGACAGACAGACAGACAGACAGACAGACAGACAAGTAACCAGCTACACAGGGTCGTACCTTTCCCTTCTGGTTGTATTGCGGAGCTCCACCGACAACCTCCACAGTGTCAGGACTTATGAAGTGACCGGCTCCGACAGAGTAACCTGAACAGCAGCAGGACACAGTGCCACATATTCAGATTCATTGCAGCAATGGAACATAACTGAGTACAGAGGTACTTGCACTTACATACACTAAAATATAGCTCTTCTCCACTTAGGAAATATTGTTTTATATTACACTACACTTATTTGACAGCTGTAGTATCTAGTTTATTTTCAGTTTAGTATGTTACATTAAAAGAAATACGATGATATGAGCTTTTATACAGCTCATTGTTTAAGATTAAACCGGTGATTACATAACGTTCTGGATTCCTTTAAATCTTTTTGTTTGAGCACAAAATAATTGCCCTTTTGGTTACTGTTCAGACTGATTAATCTGCAACTCAAATTCTGCTACCACAAAACCAAACTTACAAGGAACTAGTGTTCACAACTCAGCACTTGATAGGACAATGGGCAAGAACATGTTTCAGCCTGTTGTATGCCACCTTGACTCAACTAGTCACTGTGCATGTCCAAGAAATAGTCAGACAGTCCGCAACAGATTAAACAAACAAGGTGTAATGTGTTAATTAGTAACCTTTAGAAAACCAACCCTTTAAGAAGGAATAAAAAAGGCTAAAAAAAGAAAAAAAAAATTTGGGATAAAAAGGCATCAGTTTTGAAATAAGATGGGGGCACAAGCCACCCACCCTGGGTTTAATGATTGAATGTGGTCCAAAGAGGTACGGTGAGGGTTTGACATTTAGTGGTCTATGCAAAAAACATGTGTGTGTAGGTGTGAGATAAAGCTGCAAAAACACAACCACAGCTTTCAAATGTTGTCAAAACCGTCTCTGATGTCTGTTGATTTAGGTTTATCAGTCAGTGCTTGCACACACGCGCATGCGCGCACACACACACACACACACACACACACACACACACACACACACAAACACACACCTGTATACTATATATACTGTGTATATATATATATATATGTCTTTTCCTGAAAAGAAGAGAACTGTGAAAATGTCTTCTTGTAGAGTCAGAACAAAGAAAAACTCTTCTTCTGAAGAACATCACACCTTTCTGCTTTCAGCATCCTGTTTAGCACAAATACTGAGAGGTGAAGGTTTCATGGTGACTAAGTAGAAGCACACAGTCCCTTTGCTGAAGTGCACTTACAAAATGTTTCTGTCTTAAACGTAATGTAATGGTGGTTTCTTGAATTAGGATTAAAAGAAACCTGATTCTTCGCAAGTATTTGAGTTTTTACATGCAGTTTCTGCAGGGTTCACCGAGTTAAGACCCTTTTTTATGATCTTTTCAATACCACACAGAATGCAATTTGCTACCTGTTTCCTGCCAAAGTATTAAAGTCTGATGAAAAACCAGCAAGGATGATATGACCTAGAAGAATGACCATATCCCACTTTTTTCAGTACTTCACAGCAGTATACAACAATAATTTCTAATGATATAATTAATTAAATTAACAGGACCTGGACACATAAATGACAGAAAATAAATAAATGAATGAGAGATTCATTTAAGTTAACCTATGTTTTGGCTTATATTGAGACTTATTATTATGAGATGATAAAGCTAGCAGTAGTGGTAGTGTTTGCTACAGATCTGACAGAAAACTTCACAAAAAAGGGCTGAACAGCGTCCTGCAGCACAATCCACTGTCAAAACAATCCAACATTCCCAAGTGTATTTCATCTCATGACATCAGATATAAGAACATTTTATAACCTTCTAACTAACTATCGTCTTCTAACACCTTTTTTGAGGAAACTACATGCAACAGTTTTAAACACTTTAAGACCTGTAAATACCCTATACATGTGAACATGTTCAGAAAAGAGTCAGGAAGGAACATCAGTGTGACAGCAACATTGTGAGATGAAAGGAAACATCATAGCTGCAGCTGTGTCTTACATAATTTCCCACAAAGTATGATCTTAAGCTGAAACTGAGAAAAGAAACACATGCACTGTAAGAAATATCTTTAAGCTGCAGTACTACTGATCACTAATGTTCTTCTCAATCTTGATGATATCTTCATTTAGGCATTTGGGCAGCTCAGTGTAGCTGTTTCCTTTTTTATTATTCCTCCATGCAATATTTAAAACTTGAACACTGACCAAACCACTGACCAAAAGTGCAGAATACAATCATATCTTGTGGAGTAGATCACTATTTATTGAACAACAGCACTGCTAAAAAGCAGAAAATGTTTTGGTTGCATTCTCCTCATTGCTCTCAATTATATGCACTTTTCACAAAAACATTACTGCATGGCTGACGCATGTGGGCAAATAAACAACAGTCCCAACTTAAAGTTTTATCAGTATTTGAACCTATCCTTCAAAAAATTAGTTGGGGCGGGTCCCTTGTGCTCATGCATTCATTATCAGTAGTCATTCATAAAGGTTCCAATAGCAAAATATGTTTCAAAATCTATCAGTTCTCTCTGTGACATTATTTATCTTTTCCACTCATTGCTGTTCTCCTCTCGCACACAAGGTGCCAAATATCACGTATCAAGCATTCCTGGTATACTACTTTATAACAAGCCACACCGGGCCATTGTGATAGCTGTGAAGAGGCACATCAGCAGCTTAGCAGCCAGAGTCCTCCGTCAGCACACAGGAAGCATTTAGCTACAGGACTGCTGTGGACTCAGAGATCAAAAACACAATCTCTGTAGGTACATGCATGAGTCTGAAGATAACAGACATAAAGACTAAAAATATGCTTCTGATCACATCTGTGAATTGAATGAAACAAATCTGCTTAATCACTCGGATGTGAGACGGATGACTGAAAACTGCATCCTGTGTAGATAAGGTTTTAGAGTTGATCTGTGTAACTGGAATGAACTTACAGGTTTCTTCTGTCTTGACATTTTTTTGGTACAAGATTCTAAAACTATTTAAACATTAATATTAAGTACATTTTGGGGGTAAAACTACAACCAACTAATGTTTACTACTATTGCTGAAACAATACATTTTCATTGTGCGTGGATTGATGTTCTGTATTGTCTGCAAAAGGAAATGGTTTGCATCAGTAGGAACTGTAAACTTACGGCGTCGCCTAGCATGGCACGGCTAAAGCAGACCAACCAGGGACCAGGGATAACCCAGTTGTACAATGGTAGTTTTAGCTGTATTATATTAGTAGTACTCGTACAGCAGACGGTGTATCACCTACCCAGGTAGCTTCCGTAGCTGACGACGCCAGCGTCATCATCCAGGTACACTGACATCCCTCCACTGGACGTGTTAAAAACCAGAACTGAACCCGTCCAGTAATATGTCCCTGGAGCCCCCATGATGATCAGATCCTGAGAGACAGGGAGATTTCAGGTCTCTGTGATATAATGTGTCCTACTCTATTAAACCTCTTTCATATGTACCATACATATCATACAAGTGACATATCTCTAAGCATCAAAAAATCCTTATTTCTCTAACGTTTCTTGCTTTAAAATTTGAATTTAAACAGAAGAGCATGAGGAGGGACAAGAAAAGAGCAGATGGCGTCCATGGGATCCAGAATTGAAAAACCCCCAGCACTTCTGAAGTTAAACATAAGACAGCAGTGATGGATCACATTCAGTCTGCTGGTGGAAACAGTAAAGAGAAACAGGATTTAAAATAACCTTGTTGCCTGTATGTTACTGACCTCTGTCAGGAAGTTGGAAATACCAGCCTGACATGACCCATAATCCTCACCGAACTTCCTCTGGTGGTCTGCAAAAGACGGAGACAGACAGACATGTTGGGAGGTGAAGGTAAACAAACAAAAGAGAAGATAAAACTTAAATGTTTTTTCTCTTGCAGCCAAACAGCTGCAGCTTTCACACACTCTACACACACACAAAGTGAGGCGTAGACATAATCCAAAATGACAGGAGATGGTAGAGACCAAATTCAGAGCTAACAGAGAGTGAATATTTGATTTACATTTGTACCAAACACCAAACTCTAAATGAATGATAATGTTGCTCTGTAACTTCTGTATCTGTAAATAAGCAACTCTTTGTAAGTTAAGATATCATAAAAGGTGATGAAATATTCAGGTTTCTATTTATTTTTATCCGTAGACCCATGGTAAGTTGCATAAATTATTGCTGCTTCCTCTGGTTATTCATTGCACTCCAAGAGAGTTTCTGCTACATAACAGAAAGTTGCGCCCATAATTGACGCACTTAATAGGGTTTCCTTTCAGACATAATGTGCAGTACTGAAACAACAAAAAACGGACTCAATACTTACACAATGTGTGTGTGTTTATGTGTGTGTGAGTGTGTGAGTGTGTGTGTGTGTGTGTGTGTGTGTGTGTGTGTGTGTGTGTGTGTGTGTGTATGTGTGTGTGTGTGTGTGTGTGTGTGTGTACCTCTGTAACAGGGGATGATGGGTTGGGCGTGACTCAGGTTGTTGTCGTAGCGATAACAGACTCCATTGGGCAGCTTATGGTTCTGGCTGTCTTTCTTTGAGTAGTAGACGTTCTTCCAGCGGTGAGCACACGCCTGAACACACACACACACAGCAACATGTCATATGACATGAACTCATTACTGACAATAGCACAAGTTAGCAGCAGGGTGCTGTTATTCCCATGACCCATGTCACTGTGACAGAAACTTGAGTGTGTGTGAGTGTGTGTGTAAGATTATCAGCCCTGTAAGTGTTGCTGTTGACAATCTTTAACTCACTGTGTGTAATAGAGACAATCATAGTGAGGAGATAGTTTTAGTTAGTTTTGCTCAATCACTAAATATAAAGCCTCTTTCAGACATTGAAGGCTTCCTCTATGTGCTGACAAAATGCTCTATGTTTTCAAACATAGCTCTCTGTTACATAAATCTTCTATAAAGGCTTTAGTCACACATGACAGGACTGGCATGATTGGAGCTACAGATAAGCTGCGTCACTGCTGGAGAGCAACGATGAGTTGGAATATGAGAGGAGAACGGTGTTCTCAGCTCTTTGAAAGGTTTCATCGCTGATGGATTTACAAACTTACTGCTGTTGAATGTTTCTCTTTGGCTTTTTTAAAGTTAAACTGAAATTAAATTAATTCACTTTTGCTAAGAATTCTCCTCATTTTTGTGTAAGGAAATCTTAACTATAGTGGTACTACAGCTGCTGTGCATAATATTTCATTTTTAAGAAGAGAATAAAAGCATTTTTGGACACATTTGTATAAGTCTCAATCTTCTGAGTGAACATTTTCCTTCACAGTGTCTGACATTAGTTAGAATAGCTTGCTAGCATTAGTTTCCCACTAGGCTTTTCTTTTCATTCATGTTATTTCAACAACTGCTCCTGTCAGCTCTCACACACTCTTTGTTGTGGTTATCCTGATTATTTAATTTCAATTCAATTAAAAATACTTCCAATACTGTTCCTTTACACACAAAGAAACAGTCTAAAATACAAACATATATTAATTTTTTTAGCTGTGTTGAGATTGAAAGGCTAACACAGGTAATTACTTCTTTGTACCTTAACAAAGCAGTGTCCCCTGACATTTTAGCCAATTTGTTCTTTTTTGAGGACAAATATAACAGTCTGAGCCAAAGATTCACATCACCTGAAAACTTCAATTTCTTCTTATAATTACAATTTTGACCAAATAAGCACACAAGTCAAATCAAGCACCAAAGATACATATACGGCTTCCTTAACAAAGATGAAAGATGAGTATTAGTCTGTCTCTGTATGTTAAAATTCTGATGTACATTTGGAAGTTTACTGAGAAACAGCAGATCATTGGGCATTCTTCTCGACAATCAGCCGTCGTCATAAACATGGAGGAAGACACACAATCACAGCTCATCTGTGTCACCCTGATGTGCTGTGTTACATTTCAGTGGAGGTGCATGTGTGTGTGAGAAACAGAAAGTGTGTGTTACCAGGATGTGTCCTCCGTTGTCTCCAGGTTGTCTGGACAGACTGACTCCCAGCCACTGGTGATCACTCTCTGCTTCACACGTCTTCCCACAGGCCTGCACATCTGCACCCATACACACAAATTAAACCCATTTCACACATCCTGCCTTCAAAGGTAATCCAGTGGTATTTTACTGTTAAAGGCCACAGCTGACCAGTGTAGGTAGACAGCTGAGTCCCCTTCACAAGCAAGACTTTAGTGGCCAGGATACAAAAATGCCAACATGTCGGAACAATGACTGCGTTTATTCATGTTCAGTCAACAGCACTGCGTCTAAAAAACCATGAGGTTTATGGTGTGGACGTGTTGATTTATACTGTACAATCCAAGAAGACCAGTCAGAGTAATAAATGATAATCCAGTCATAAAGTCCTTTTATCCCTTATCTCCACAACTGTGAGGTAAAAGGTAGAATTACAAACTAAGAGCTTCTGCAGCAGCAATCCAGTGTATCTGGTGTGAAGGACGCTGTGTTTCTACAACACAACATGCTGATATCAGTCAGTTTGGCACTGCACAAAAAAAGGCCATTACTTTCAATGGAGCCATGTTGGTGCACAATACCCTGATTTTCCATCACAGTTTTTAGAAATTTGACTTCAAATACACCAACTTCCTTGAAATTCAGTGTGTTTGAGGCCACAGAGGACGCCGTGGAGAAAAGCAGAAGAAAAGTAAATTTTGTGAATGTCTGAATTCCCCAAGTTATGCAACAATACTTCAATCTTACTACGACTTAAAATAAAAAAGAAGCCACAGTATACACAACTACCAAGACACCATGTACCAACACCTCTAGACCTTAATAATTAAGTAATTATATATCCTTTGTTTAATCCGTGTAAACTTGTGTTTTTTACCAGGCTTATGTGCGGGACTAGGCAGCTTTTTTAAATATTTTGACAGAGTCAGGCTAGCTATTCACCCCTCCTACTTAAAAAGAACATATATAATATCACAGGATTAGGCAATGTCTTACATAAATACTATACATTATTTTGCACAACCTATGTGACCTTGCACATTTGGTGTGAAGAACATTGTTCACTAGAAAAGAACAACACATAATAGACAGACAGGCAGAAACACACCAGAATGCATGTCGTGGCAGTGGCGTTGCTCAGAAGAGATGTCGCAGCGGTAAACAGCTCCTGGAGATCGAACCGACGGATTGGAGGATGAGTTTGCTACTGGGGCTCCAACCACCAACCTGAGAGAGAGAGAGAGAGACAGTTAGACAGGATCTGTCTTTGTGTCTGTTCAGTGTCTGAATGGCATCTGTGTGTGAAGTATCAAAGAGCTCCTCTCATTGACAAGAACTGGCTAATTAGCATGCACACACACACACACACACACACACACACTTCTACTGTGAAGATAGCAGCTAATAGAGCATCACCATGATAACTAAATTAATCTAAATGTACTGATCTCTGCAGCTCCATAAGGACAGAAGTCATTTATTTCTACCATTTAAATGTCAACGTTTACTATAAGATCAACAGAGGATCAATAGCAGAAGAACAGGGGATCAATCAATAGTAGGTCAAAATAGGTAAATCAATAGTGGATCAACAGCATGTCATCAGCATATCAATAAAATATTAATAGTTCATCAACAGAATATTAATAAAAATGTTTTTTTTTAATGTTTAGATCATAAACAGATCAATATCAGAACAGTATAGATCCATACCAGCTGTGATCTCCATGACGATGCAACAGGACTGAGTATCCAAACATGGAGGAGGCGGGGCCATGGAACTCCAGACTGTGGTCCTGATCCAGATTGTATCCGGCCGCAGGATGGACCGAGACCAGGACCTGAACCAGGACCAGGATCAGGCTGCAGCGCCCACACACGCTGCCCACCGCGGGACGCATGATGGAGGAAAACCTGCAGGACACCAGAGACACAAATCAATAACGATCAATACATACGAGATCAGACATTTAACTACGATATACCTGTTTTACAGCATAAACAGATATATTTGAATATTTAACTCCACAGATAGTTCTAGCTACTTAATGGAGTGGTTTGCCATTTTGGGAAATACACTAATATTGTTGCAGAGAGTTAGATGAGAAGACTTATACCACTAAAACCAGCAGATGGTTAGATTAGCAAAGCATAAAGACTGGGAGCAGGGGAAATGGCTAGCCTGGCTCTGTTCAAAGGTAGCAAACGTTTAAACCATTTTTGGAGCCATTTTACATCACAATTGTTCACTGAATAAGTCTAAAACAAACAAACATGTTTTTACACATGGAGAACAAGATCTGTAGGCAGCACTACAGTTCTACATTACAATGCTGTTTCGTCACACATCCGACCTCTAACCACATTAACTCCTGTATTAAGTGAGAGCTCAAATTTGTGGCGTGAATCCTCTTCCGTATTACACGTTTCAGTCCCATTCATAGTAATTACACACTCTTTCCCACTTTTACAACAACACCACCAGCCGGCAGTTCAATTTTTTTTTTTTTTTATGTAAGGGGAACTCATTCTCTACAGTTTTTCATGTTTCTGTGAAAGTAACACCTGTGGCTACCAAGCGCCTGATGGTAAGCAAAGATAAGTGGTTACAGTGGAAGACAGTACAGTGGTATCCATTTTCCCACCAACAGTTGATATTAATATCTCAAACTTTAACATGATGTCAGACTGATTCAGTTGGAGAGCACATTTTGTCCAGGGCCCCCAAACCTCTTGGTCCGGCCCTGTAGACTCAACTCTTCTTTACAACACTTTTAATTACAAAAAGTTTGATAAAGGGACGTTTACTTTAAATCCAGTATTATTACATTGTGGTTGTTGTACTGCAGTAAATGGGTTTTCACCCACGGACGGAAGCAGGGCTAACTAACTCTTTATCATCAGTTTATTAATGATTCATTTGGATCAATCAGTGAACACCTAACTCAATCTGATGAACAGTGAATCCCAAAGACATCTGAAGACAGGACATTGTCGCATTGAAGAACCGGAAAATGTTTGTTTAGTGACTGAAAACGTTTCTTCATCAGCTCAAGTCATTAATTGTCTGTCACTAATTTATTAACCGACTACCGGTCATCGTTTCGGCTCTAACGGGAGTTTACTGTACCGCTCAGACTGCAGATATCCCGGGTCAGAGAGTGGGTCCAGTCGGTACCGGGCAGCTGTGTAATCAAAGAGCCGCTCCTAAAGTCTCCGTTAAATCCCTCTTGTTCCCGGTGTGACTCGCGCGTGAAACCTCCTGTTGCTCCCCTGTCCGTTAACCGCCTCGTGCGTGGACCGGTTGCTGTGTGTCCGCTCGAGGCAGCGCACGAGGTCCCGTTATCCTGTGACAGGCAGAGAGCTGAGCTGAAACTGAGTGAAAGAAAACGGAAGAAAATAAACAGCAAAAAACTAAAGTTCATCTGACTTTCAGATAAAGTCAATGAAACAGAGCCGAGCGCGCGGAGTACCCTCCCTCCCTCTGCGCGCGCTTGTGTGTCAGTGTGTGAGTGTGTTTCCTCTCCACAGTCTGCTTTAACTAAGTGTGTGTGTGTGTGTGTGTGTGTGTGTGTGTGTGTGTGTGTGTGTGTGTTCGGGGTGTTTCCTCTTCGGTTATCACCACAGTGTGAATGGGGTTACTGTGGCTGTAATCAGATTTTTATGTCTGCATGTTTGAAACACACAAATACTCAAATAAACCGCGTAAGAATCAAAACAAACAACACAAATATCAGCGGGATTCAGAGCTTGGAGGCTACATTTACTGATGTGACAGATACTCAGATAGACTAGACTACTTGTTCAATTATGAAGAATTTGTAGGCTTTTTTAAAGTTATAGTTTTACTCCACTACACTGAAACTTTTTCAGCCTTGTCCACAAGATTTATTTTATAACTTTAGATAATTTACAATTTCAGATTAATAATAAAAAAGAATAATTAACATATAAGTCATAAGGTATTATTAAAGGTTAAAGACTCCGATGTAAGTGCATCAATAATTATAATCCAATAATAAAATATTGATTATTCTGAAAAAGGGCCATTCTGCATAATAAATAGCCTTCTTTTACTCTTCGTACTTTATTTTGATATTAACACATTTGCACTTTTACTTCAAGACCCTACAAGGAACTTTATTTTCTTGTAAATTCTGGCGCCCTCTGTGGATAAAAGCAGTAGTGTTTCATTGATTTCAAGGGGAAACCCACAGAATCTGACCCGGTGGCTGGCATTAAGAATAACTACATGGATATAATCCTCTTGCTGATGTCCTTGTTCTAGTTCATATAACCAGTTAAAAACTCCTTGTTGCAAATATTTAAGTAAACATTTGCTTTCAGAACTTTTATTTATAAGAGCCTTTCTAACTCTGCATATTGCTACTTTTGCCTTAAAGAACTGAGGACTTCTTCTACCTCTGCTGGACCATAAATGAAAAGAGGACTTGTAGCTGACCCTAAAACCTTTATGAGTACTTAAAGTTTATTTAAATTTAAAGAAGTATAATTATAGTATCGGAGTGTAACCGCACTGAGACGTCACCGCTGTCATATGGTCTGTAATCCTACTCAGCTGAAGTGACGCTTCCAACAGTATAAAGTATAATTAAAGCAGGTACTGATGCAGAGGGCTGTGGCAGACTGAAAACAGACTTATAACAAGACATGGGATGAAAATCACTCTCTCATTCAGTACCTCTCTATAATAGACATTCAGTGGTTTACCAGGTATAAACTTCAGCCACTTATAAATCAACATAACTTAAATGTCATGCAGCAGTGCAGTGCTTTAGCTAAATGCTAACACCAGGATGCTAACACTCTCACATTGGTTATATTCACCATCTTGGTTTAGCATGTTAGCATGCAAATTAGCACTGAACACAAAGAACTGCTAATGATGACAAGAATGTCATTAGTTTTGTGTTGGGCAAATAAAACCACAATGATCATGACTGCACCAAACTGAGTGGCCACCCATCCAATAGTTGTTGAAACATATCACTCTGAACCACAAATGTCAAGCTAAAGGTGGTGCAGGAAAGGGAAAGTCAGAGGATCAATAGATTCATTAGGATACATTGACCAGGAGCCATAAATATCAAGTAGATATTGAGATATTTCACAAGTAGGAACTTTGAACTGCTGCTGGTGTTAATTAAAAGTTGAGGTTTCATCCTCTGGGGACCTTGAAAATCTGTGCAAAATTTCACAACAATTGATTAGTTGTTGATATATTTTAAATCACTTCACCACTGTAGGGCTAAGAAAGGTGGACTCAGAAGTTAAAGTACTAATTCACAGTGCAGAAATACAAAAGGTACTGAATTTAAAACGTTAGGCCTACAAACGTACTAGCATAAAAGCCTACTTAAAGTGCCAAAAGTAAAGTACTCTTTATGTAGAATGGCTCCTTTCAAAAGAATATATATTATGTTATTGGATCATACTTATTGATGATGCATCACTGTGTTAATCGCTTTATTGTTGCAGCTGGTAAAGGTGGAGCTAATTGTAGATACTTTATATACTGCTGCTTTTGTTTTATTTCATTTATAATAATACAAAATTATTCAACATGTTAGCAAGCTGACTGAAATCACAGCTGTGCCTAAATACAGCCAGTAGACTATAGATGGTATAGCCTCACAGAGCTGCTAACATGGCTGTAGACTATTAGTCTGTTAGTTATTTTGTCTGCTTGTTACCGGGACGCCCCCAAAAAAAAAAGCAGATGAGCCACGATTATAGAATAAAAGTGTGAAGACAAACAGCTTCAGTTCTTCTGTGTTACTGCAGTTGGTCCGTGAGATAATTCATCCAGCTGTTCCGAGTAAATATTCACCAAAAATAAATTCTACAGAAGTACTACTTTGTGTGACTCAAACAGTTTTAATCCTGTGCTAAAGTTAAGTAAACAATGACTTTATAAGTAGTTTGGAGGTTGATGTGATGAATAGCTGGTGGTCAGTTGAAGTTCGGGGGAAGAATATTTGTCGTGAAAGAGTCACTGAAGAACTCGAACTGCTCTGTGATCCATTCCAGACCTTCAACCAGCCATCAGTAAATAAACCAGAGGCACACCAAGAAAAGTAAAGAGGGAGAGCATTTTTTTACATTGTTTATTGTCCATGTTTATGAGTCTCTGACCCATATATCTGAAGGTTATCAGCAGAAAAGACACTGTATATAATAATAAAGTCATAAAGGAATATACCAAACTTTTTTCAACAAGTCTGAAGATCACCTGGTCCTGTTCATCAGAGAAAAAGCTCAATCTCTATCTATCACTTTATAACTACCAGAACTATCCTGATTTTAACTGTTCGGGTAAAAATAGCTCCAGACAGAAAGACAGTTGTGCAGCAGACAGACTGTTTTGGTTGAATGTTGGACAGGAACTGTATGCTACGCTCACACACATACACATTCACTGAGTGTGTTTGTTGGTATTTCCTGTTAATGACCCCACAGTTATTATGTTGGAATCTCACCAGCTACTGTTCCCACCCTCCCACACACTTTGAGACTCCTTATGTTGTATATATACATGTGTCCTCCTCCCTGAGCCATTATTGTGTGTGAACACCCGGGATTCTCTTTTACCACGTACACTGACCAAAGTCAAGTTGTTTAATTGTTTTAAAGTGTGTTTGTTGTTAGTTTAACTGAGTGGTAAAACTAACGTAACTGTTGGTTAAAGAACTACTGTGTGGGATTTAGTGGCATCTAGTGGTAAAGTTGCAGATTGCAACTAATTGAATACCACTTGCCTTACTTCCCCATCCAAGCATGTAGGCCAAACTACGGTGGCTGTAAAACAGTGTTTGTTTTGTCCATTCTGGCCAACTGTAGAAACATGGTGGACGTAGGGGGGGACCGGCTTCTTCTGTAAATAAAAACGGCTCAACGAAAACACAACAATTCTTATTTTCAGGTGATTATACAGTAATGAAATCATACTTATGAATATCATATTTCATTTCTGCCAATAGATCTTCCTATATGTTACACACTGGATAAGACTGAAGCACAAGTATCTTTTCTATGGTTAACCTGACTTTAATATAATATTTTGAGCACTGATTTATCCTAGTTGTTGACCTGCTGACACCTACTAGCCAACTAGGGATAAGGATTTGAATTACCAGGTGATGATCCATGTAAAAGACCTGGAAATAAAGCAAAGATGTACAGTAGTCTCTGATTCTGTATTATAAATATGATTATTTCATTCTAACATACCTGTTTGACTTAGCTTACAAACGTGTTAACTTTACAAGACAAATAGCTTTAGGATGAGGACCAGGTGAGTGTAGCAAATGTAACACTATCTTGAGTAATGCTGGAAGAGGTTACTGGAGTGTAAACCACCTGAAATCCATGAAGAGTAGGATTAAAACATAACGTGTGACCCCACAAACTAATGCAGTTAGTTAATAATGTGCTTCTTTGGCTTTGGAAGTAATGGTGGTAGCAAGAGAATTAGCTAGACATGTTAACAATTTAACTTTACATTAGAACAGATAAACACACCGCTACTTCCTTACACTCCTGCTCTTGTGTGTTTTGTTTCAGACAGGCTCAAAAAGACACCAAACCTTTTTCAATGCAGAGTATCTCTCTTACTAAAGCTAATTGCTGTGCCTAGTTTGGTTGAACCATTGCTGTTGGGGGGATGGGTTTGGGAAATGGTCAATTAGTGTTTGCCTGGTTAACAGGAAACTTTTATGAGCTTCCTTTAACTGGTGAAGATATGAAAAGAGACACAAAACTTTAATTTAGGACATTTTAGTGGTTTATTTAGACTCACCAGACTTTCTGTCCCATTCCTGCCCATGAGATGGATGTCATGGATAGGCTGCTTTTTACTTACGAAAGGAAGAACAAGAGATTTAGACTTTGTATTGTTTGTGTTTCAGTGTGGACAGGGACTATTACAAAGCGACCAGAAACCATTACTGCAGAGTTTCTCAGATTGAAGGTTTTATTTGGACACACACTGACTGCCGTCCTGCTTATTCAGCCGTGCTAGCACCGAAAGCCTCGCTTTGGCTGTGGGTTCGTTCCACTGAGGTCACCGTGAACCTCTGCTCAGCAAGTAATTAGGAGGTCAGAGGTCACAGCAGATAGTAGATGGATGGGAGGACAGAAGACATGGAGTAGATAAGCTGCAGGGAGACGATGCTGCTGTCAGGAAGTCCAGTAAGTCCAGTTAAAACAAAATAACCAGTGTAACAGTGCTAGTCTCCCTGAAACACATACATAGAAAGCAGCAGTCATGTTGTCAGTCATGCAGCCATCATGTGCTGATTTAGGGTGTGTTTCTATCATATGATAGTGAATAGCTCGGACACTTCCTCTGTTTTCTTTCATTTCCCTCTGACTTTCTCTCACAGTCTAGGAGTATATTCACATTAAACCATTTAACTCTGTTTCACCCCTCCATTCATACTAAAACAAATCTGTCTCCAGAAAGCAGATCTCTTAAAAAGCCGGCTTGCTTTTTCAGTG